GTAAATGCAGTTTCTATTTATGTCCTGAGACTCCAGGCTGTAAAGAACTTGACTATCCCTAGAAATCCGCATGGGTAATGATCTTTTTTGGAGATAAATGCCTTATTAACATGCCTGGGACTTAATAATGGATGAGAAAATCAGATGCGTTTCATGTCCCAGAGCCAGATTTAGAATTAAAGCTGGTGCTGTTGATGCCATAAGTTTAGTTCTGGGGAGTAAATATATATCTGCTAACTTTGGGAATGTCAGAGGAGAACAGGAACAGCAAGCACTGGTGGCAGATGCTAAATCTGTACCACGGGCCAGGTTGTTGCTTCAGTTCCTGGTGCTGCAGGAGCAAGGGAGCTGCTGTCTGTGCCCAGAGCAGCCATTCCAAATAAATAATTGGAATATCAACCTTTTGATGAATGCTCAGCCAGCAACTCATGGAAAAACAGATGTTCCCCTGAATCCCTGCTCACGTTTGCAGACACTGCTGTTGGGATCCAGCCCCAGGCAGGGAACAGGTGTTCCCTGGAATTATCTGGGGCATCAGTTCAACATCTGGCAGCATTTGCTTCATTAGCTCTGTAATTGTTTTGTATTCGTTTAATTTCCCTGCTGGTCAGTGAGAAGGGCCTGGAAAAGCCAGGTTTGCACCAGGAGCTCGTGGCTGTGGTGTCAGGAACCTTTTTGCTGTGGCTGCTGCTGCACTCAGGGGACTTTGGGGAGGATAAATGTTCTGGGGTAGCTTTTGTTAGTTGGAGTTTTAGTGTTGCTTTGTGAAAAATTGGAGGGGGAGTTGTACATGTATAGAAATACACATAAATAAATAGACACTCCTAAGTGGAAGCTGCAGGGGAAAAGGCTGCAAAGGCTGTGGATTTTTCCCTGGTGTAAACTGCAGAGTGTGCTGCTTTGAAGGTGATGCTTCCTGAGACCTCAGAGTGAGCAGGGTCCTGTGCTCACCTCACGAGATCAGTGGCTGAGTCTGAACATCAAGAACTGTTGTTTGGCTTGAAAAGTAATCCCCAAAGTGCTTTTTATCATGTTTGGAAGGATTCTGGTTCATGTTTTTGCCAGTGTGTGGATGCAGCTGGCTCAGCGGGAGGGAGCTGTATCCAAACTCCTCCAGAGAGGGGGACTTTGCTGGGATGCTTTGGGGGAATGTTTGGTGACAGTCACTCCTGCCTGCCTGCCAGCTCGGGATGTGGATGGGCCAGGTCACGACAGAAGCTGAGAAAAAGATTGAGCAGGGCTCTGGAAAATACTCTGAGCCTAAAGAAAGGGAGAACCTGGGCTGAAGGTCTTAAGGAATAAGGTCTGTAAAGCATTACTTCAGCTGGAAGAGGAGATCCTGTCTGTCTGTCTGACATCAATAAGATGTCACCAGACCCACAAGGAGGCAGTGAAAGGACAGTCCCTGGAAGCAGAGGTGTGGCACTGCAGACCCCAGAGAGGGTTGTGCCCTGTTGTCACTGCTGCTGCTCTGCTGTCCCTTGCCCATCCCTGTTTTGGCACCCCAGTTTTGCTGGCTCGGCCATGGGTTGGGCTGTGCCTGTAAGTGTGATCATTAAACTGGTTCAGATTTCAGGGAAAAGTGAATTTTCCTTGTTCTTCCCCCTCGTTTGCAGGGTGATGTGAGGGTGTGTTGGCGTAGGAGACAAAAGGAATGAGAATGTGCAAAGGCTGTGCCAGCGAACCCTTTGTGCTCCGGAGCAGCTGATCCCTGAGTGCTGGGAGCAGCAGGAGCCACAGAAACCTTCAACAGTTTGGGTGGGAAGGGACCTTTAAAGGCTGCCTAATCCAGCTCCTCTGATGGGCAGGGACATGGAATCACAAAATAATTTAAATTGGGAAGAGCTTTGAGGTCATCAAAACAATGATCCTGCTCCAAACCTGTCCAAGCCTGCCTTGGGCACTTCAGGGATGGGGCAGTCACAGCCTCTCTGGGCAACCTCTGCCAGGGCCTCAGCACCTTATCATCAAAAGCTTTTTCCTTTCAGTCTTGGCAGCTCCATAGCCAGGGAAGCTGCTGGAGGGGAGTCTCAGCCACTGCAGAGGTGAGGAGAGGGATTAGAAACCTGGAAACAGTGGTGCCATCACCACTTGTCCAGTTACACAGCTAAAATCTGTGTTGCTGTGCTTGGGAAGGAGCTGAAGGCTTAAAAGCAAGAACTTTTGCAACTCAGGGCACACATGAGACATGTTAACTCCTTGAAGGACACAGAGAGGAGGAGTGGGGCATGGCTGGGTTCCCTGAAGCAGCAGATCTGAGCAGCTCTGTGCTGGGGCTGCAATTCCTGACCCATCCCACCCGCGAGCTGACCAGCCAAGGAAAGCCTTTGCTGTTAACTTCCGTAACTTCTGTCAGTCTCCATTTCCATCTTCAGCACTGAAAAGATCCTTCCATCTTAAATTTGGCCAATGGATTTGACTCTGAAAGATGTGCCAGAGGCTGTGCTGCTGAACTTCTTGCCCAGGTATCAGCCCTGAGGGGTGTCCCTGGGGCTGGCTCCTGCTGGAGGGGCTGTGGGGGACCCTGGCTGTGGAGGAGCTCAGGGAGCCAGGAGAGAGCTGATTACTCTGCAAGTCTTCAGTGAGTGCTGCTGCCACCAGCAGCAGTGAGACAGCTCCCCGTGCACACTTAAATCCTTCATTCAACCCGAGCATTCCTTTCACTGTTTGGATTTAGATTTCTGCAGGGCAGAGCTGTGCTAGACTTCGGGTACGCCTGTGAGGATTCCAGCCTGCTGTGCTGAAAACCTTTAAGCCACAGCACTGCTGTCCTCCTTCCTTCCTTCCTTCCTGTGTTGGAGTGAATTCTCACACATGCAGTTGTGTGTTCTCCTTTTCTGACTCTACAGAGTCAGGCAAGGCACACTTCTGCTTTTGCTTTTTGCCTTCCTCCCCCTCTCTCCTCCAAAATGAAACTGCAGCTGAAACACAAGCGTTCAGGCTGGCCATGATGCAGCATAAAACTCTTCTGTGAGTGTTTCCCCTTGGCTGTAATTAGTTTTTGTGTTCAAGGAGCAATTTTGAACATTCATCCAGAGCCATTACAAGGGAGCATCTGTGTGAAGACATGTTTTGTGCAGCTGAGGAGCAGAAGGGCCATTGGGACAGAACCAAAGGCAACTTCTCAAGTTAATTGTAAGATTTTATTGGTGTTTCACTCCACTGCTCAAGGGTTTCTCATGTGAATCAATGGCAGACTGCCTAATTTATGTGTGAGCCCTGCTTGAAAAGCAGCCCAGATTGATTTGCTGACAGTGCATGGGGAAAAGTGACCCTAATTTGTGACTTCAGCAGGCCTGTTGGGACAGGGGTGCTGGAAACTTGGGAAGATGAACTGCAAGTTTTTGCTTTGGCTTGAAAGGTTCACCATCCCTGTTCAGCAAAATGCCATTAATTTGGGGTATGGGTAGCTCTTTAGTATTATAAAAGATATTAATGAGATGTTAAAACCAGTCAAAGTGGGTTTTATCTGAAATGTTTGTTCCTCTAAGATTTTTTAAGCAAATCCTGGAGCTTTGTTGCTGGCCAATGTTGAATTATTTCATTAGTGCCCTGATTAGTCTGATGAGTCTCTTTTCCTTCTCCGTGGTTGTGTTGATGGCCTCAGTCCTTTGCTGAGCTTGCAGGACAAATAGTAAATAATTCAAAGTGGAGCCTTGCTGCAGAGACCTTTCTTAACTAAAATGAGACCATAAAGGATGGACTGTGAATACACAGCAAGAGACACAATTGGATGTGGAACAGGAGCGTGAAATGGCTGTGGCACAGACCTGACAGTACTTGGAAAATAATCCAATGGTTTTCCCTTCATTTTCCACACAGAATCCCTCCGTGCCTTCACCTTAGCTCAGTCTCTCACAGCTTGATCCTCCCTTAACTGGGGCTGGGTGAAGCGCCCTGGGGACGGTGACAGCGGCGGGGCCGAGGAGGTGACAGCCGTGGTTGGGTGTCACAGCTGCCAGCACAGCCCCGGAGTCACAACCATTTCCTTTAGCTGGGGACAGTGACAGTGGCCAGAGCCTGGGGTTTCCTGCTGACTCAGCACTGACATCCTGCTGTGCCACCGCTGTCCCCGTCACCGACCGCGGAGAGCAGCCCCGCAGAGTCACCCCTTTCAACTGGATCTCATTATCTCGATTTAATTTTGTCTGTGCTGAGCCTCTGTCTCGAAACTTTCAAGTGTCTTTTAGGCTTTTGCCTCTGATCTAGGATTCCCAGTGATTGGAGATTGCCAGAGCGAGCCGGGGTGAGCAGCGAGAGCCCAGGCAATTCCTGAACCTCCTGTGCCCAAAACCAGCCCAGGCAATTCCTGAACCTCCTGTGCCCAAAACCAGCCCAGGCAATTCCTGAACCTCCTGTGCCCAAAACCAGCCCAGGCCTTTTCTCCCACACTCCCTTTGAATGGATTGGCTCCTCTTTGTGGGCTCCAAAAGCTGGGCTTAGTCAGATGTTCCTCAAAGCTGCTGGGGAAGGGGGGCCAGGGCGGGCTGGCTCCTCGCTCATGAGAAGCTTTTCTATATATAAAACTGCGTGGCTGGCTGCTGATAGCGCTAATGAAACCCTCTGTTAATTCCTTCACCCACCAGCAGCAGGTACAGCAGGTGCCACTGGCTCTCCCCAAGTCGTTTTGCTAATTGAGAGCAAGTTCTTAATTGCAGGCACTCAGCCCTGCATTGCAGAACCGCTGCTGCCACAACCCCGACTGTCAGCGATGAGGAAATGGTGAAACAGCCTGAAAAAAAGGGAATAAGTCCAAGCCCTACTGCAGGGGAGAAGTAAAAAAAAAAAAAAAACAACCCACAAACTGAAAAGAGTCAGTTCTTCCTGCAAAAATTTCATACAACAGAGATTCACCTCAGGGGATTGATTACACGAACCTGCGGAAATATGGGGATTTAAATACTGCAGGCAGCTAATTCAGCTCTTCCTGGAGCTGAAGGAACGTTCTTGAGCTGCAGGAATACTTCTGGAGGAGGTTTTGTTTTGCATGGGAGCAGCTGGCTGAGAATGGCACCTGTGTGTGGAGTTACCTGCTGGCAGCTGGCGTGTGACACCGAGCGTGGATGGGGGGCAAGGTGAGGTTAGGGGGGTGGGACGCTGGAAGGGGACCTGGTGGAGGGATGGTGGCATCCAGCTCTGGGATTTGCTGTCCTGCTTCCCGGTTTGTGGCTGCTCTGCTCTGGCTGAAGCTGTCGTGCTTCAGTGGAATTTGGTGTGAGCTGCTCATCCCAATCTCCAGTTCTCCAGCGTCCCTGGCACGGGCTGCCCTCTGCCCCCTCACACATCATCTCCTGCCTCTCACAACCTCCCAAGGGCAGGGATGGCTCCAGCCTCTTCCCAGATCAGAACTTCAGAGGCCACCCCAGCTGCAAAACACCCAACTCCATCTGAAAGTTTGTCCTTCCCTTGTCACAGCCCAGGTCCCATCCCTGCAGCCACGTCACCACAAGGCTCTGGCAGCTGTGGCTGCCCATTCCCTGCTCCCCCCAGCAGCCTTTCCATCGCCCTTTGCTGCTGAGGAGAGCAAATCCAGCAGTTTTCCATCAGAGCTGGCATTTCAGAGCAAGGTTGTCACTGCAGCGAGGAGCTGTCCCCTCAGAGCTGCGGTTTGCTGCTGGGGCACAGCTGGGCACTGCAGTAAAGACACAAGGAAACTCTCTGTGGCACCGAAAAGAGAAGAACCAGCTTCTCGTGAATTTTGTGGTTCCTGAAAAGACTTCTGGGTGTGTGGAGTTGGTGTTGTGCTGCTGTGCAGCTGCACCTTCACGTGGCCGAGCGTTGGGTCTGTGTCCCCAGGGGGAATGTGCCTGCTGCTGAGAACGCCGAAGGTGGGTGAAGGAACAGATGGAAAACTGCTGGATTTGCTCTCCTCAGCAGCAAAGGGCGATGGAAAGGCTGCTGGGGGGAGCAGGGAATGGGCAGCCACAGCTGCCAGAGCCTTGTGGTGACGTGGCTGCAGGGATGGGACCTGGGCTGTGACAAGGGAAGGACAAACTTTCAGATGGAGTTGGGTGTTTTGCAGCTGGGGTGGCCTCTGAAGTTCTGATCTGGGAAGAGGCTGGAGCCATCCCTGCCCTTGGGAGGTTGTGAGAGGCAGGAGATGATGTGTGAGGGGGCAGAGGGCAGCCCGTGCCAGGGACGCTGGAGAACTGGAGATTGGGATGAGCAGCTCACACCAGATCACCAGGAATGGGACAGGTCCAGCCTGTGGTGTGGGATTGGCCTTGGGGACTTGTCAAGGACCTTTTCCAAATGAGCATTTTACAGCTCTGTTGGTTTTATTTAGAATTAATCCTCTTGCACTTGTGTAAGCACCTAAATAAAACATGACTCATTTAATTAATTACACTGAAATCATGGGACTGTACAACTTCACTTTAGGTAGGAGTGATTTTATCTTCTTTGATGATTAAAGCCTCAGTTCATGACACAACACAAATTAAACTTTAAAAAATATATGGTAAGGGGACTTTAGCGTACTATTTTGTGTTTGGGGTTGTTTTTGGTTTTTTTTTTAATAACAGAAGGAGCTACTGGAAATTTGTTGAGATTTCTGGGAATATTTAAACAATTTTCTGTGCATCAGGCAGGAAATAGTGAAACAGTGTCCTCACTGTGTTGACTTTGCAATCATGTGATGAATGTATGACCACTTCAGAAATGCACCTGCTGAGTTTTGCAGGATATTTCCTACAAAAGCTGGTCAGGAAAGTGCAAAAAATTGGCAAAAGAATTCTTCAAAAAGTGTTTGAGGGTAAATGTGCATCTGTGAGAGAATGCATTAGTCATCCTGACCTCTTTTATTGCAGCATGAAAACAGCTTTGAATTTGAAAACACTTCTCATCTCTCTCTTTCTGAAGTAGTTCCTTCCATTGTTTTGTGTGCACTTTTCCTAACGTGGTCACCCTGTGCTGGACACTGGGGAGGCCAACCTGGAATTCCGGGGGCAGCCTGGGCCCCTTGAGACATTGAGCACATCCAGGGAAGGGAGCAGAGCCCTAGGAGGGGCTGAGGGAGCTGGGAAGGGGCTGAGCCTGGAGCACAGGAGGCTCAGGGGCCCTTGTGGCTCTGCACAGCTCCTGCCAGGAGGGGACAGCCGGGGGGTCGGGCTGTGCTCCAGGGAACAGGGACAGGAGCAGAGGGAACGGCCTCAGGCTGGGCCAGGGCAGCTCAGGGTGGATTTTGGGAACAATTCCTTCGTGGAGAGGGTTGTCCAAGCCTGGCACAGCTGCCCAGGGCAGTGCTGGAGTCCCCATCCCTGGAGGAATTTAAAATCCATGTACATGTGGCACCTGGGGACACGGGGCAGTGGTGGCCTTGGCAGTGCTGGGGGAACAGCTGGACTGTGTCTCAAAGAGCTTTTCCAACCTAAAAACTTCCTTGATTCTGTGATGGAGTTTTTGATCTGACAGCTGCCTATTCCAAGCTGACCTGGGTAGTTTTAGATACGACAGCCCTTGCATTGCTTCATTCAAAGCCACTCAGGCATGGAAAAGAAATTTCTCCTTTTTTTCCCTTCATTTCCAGATCTATGGGGCTGCAGATAAGCCAGCTGTGCAACACATGAGCAGGCAATGTATATTTTTCCCCAAATTAAGGCTGCAGAGTTCATTATGCTGCTGGTTTTAATTCACTTTATGTCACAGAATATCAACACAACTGCTTTGAGTAATCCTGATGAGCAAAGTAAATAAGAGAAAAGGGATTCCTGTCACATTCTGTGCTGCTGCCTCCTGGTGACCATGGAGTAATTGGGGTTGGAGGGGACCTTTGAAGCTCCAGCCCATTCCTCTGGCCCAGCCCATCCACTCCTGGGTGCATTTGTAGAAATCCCATTGATTGAAAAATGCCCCCACCGCTTTTCAAGTGGCAGAGTCACTCTGTAAGGGTGGCATGTCACCACCAGTGTCAGTTAATCCTGGCTGCAGCAGCCCCGTTAATGCAGTGCTTAATCTGCTGGTGACAACCTGTGATTTATATTCCCGGGAGATCCCAGCCTTGCTAATTGAAATGGATTGGAACTCGTGTTCTCCATGATGGGCTGGGTTTGGAGACTCAGTAAAGACACACAGAAATAACTGAACTGGGTAGAATTTAAGAACTGGTGCTACAAAAGCGGTAATTCTTGTCTGTGTTTGGGTTTTTCTCTTTAAATATTGTTTTTTTGGAACAAATAATGGATTTGCCACATCTGCTGACCTCCTCTTCTGTGGAAATCAAAGCAAATATAATAATTTGTCCACCTGACTTAGACACAAAGTGACTAAATGAGCAAGACAGTCTATCAAGCTTGATTATTCCAAATGGAAATTGATTTTACTCAGTTAATTGGATGCTTTGCCTCACTCGGTCTCTTACGTGTATATGATTATTCTGATTTGTAATTTTTTAATCTAATTATTACCATCTCTTTGAAATGATCTTTACTGAGGCTATTTGTATAGAATACATGAGGAATTTTTACAGTCAGATATAATTTTGTGGGCAGTGGTATTAAATTATAGATCATTATAAAATTATATATTTGTCCCTTAAATTCCCTTGTTCTTTCTGAAGGGTTGGAAACAAAGCTTGCCTGGTTTTTATTTGCAATGTTGCAAATATGTTTACAGCAATGTTGAGTGTGCTGTAAAGAGTTCCATTAAAAAATTATGGGATTTATGGTGACATTTAATGTTCATCACGGAATGTTTTCTAATTTATCACATGGTTGGATTTTGAGGAATGTTTCCCAAGTGGAGAGATCCCTTCTTGAGTTTCTTGCATGGACCACGTGCACAAACATTTCCACAAACTCCATTCCTTGTTTTTCCTCTGGATTTTAGGATATCCTGAGTCTCGAGGAAGAATTACAAGGATTCAAAAATAAGAAAATGAAAACTCGATTTGTTTGGGTTTTTTGTAGCTCCTGAATGTTAGAGTGATGTCAAAACACGGGACTTGATCAAACTTCTGGAAACTGGATTTGGGGCTCAGTGTCTAACTCCAAGAAACAGATGGTAGTGGAATGGTTACCCCAAGAGGAGGAATTCTGAAAAGCTGGTTCCAGCTGGTGGCCCGTGGAGGGTGGGTGTCCCTGCTGAGCTGAGGGCAGGAATCCGAGTCCTGCTGCTCCACTGGCCTCGTGCCCAGCGTGGGGATGGGGATGGAGGGGCTGGCTGTGCTCAGAGGGGTCTGTGCGACCTGGCGCCTCCCAGAGCTGCTTGTTCATTTTCCTTGGAAATGAAGGGTTTAACTCCAGCTGGACAGGGCTTGGAGCACCTGGAAACACAAGGAATGAAGGGTTTAACTCCAGCTGGACAGGGCTTGGAGCACCTTGGGATGGTGGAAATTGTCCCTGCCCATGGCAGGGGTGGGGTGGGATGGGCTTTGAGCTCCCTTCCAACCCAGACCATTCATGGTTCCATCTTGATGTGAGTTCCTGATTTCCCCCCTTCCTTTAGAAAACGGAGGAGCACTTCTCTTCCCAGGTGTTTTGTAAACACTTAATTGAAGAGAACAGTTTTGGGAATGCTGCAGCATTGATTGCTTGCCCTGATGACATAATGGGGCAATAAAGCCTTAATGAGGTCATGGGAGAGCAATTCCAGTTAAACTGTAACCTGGCCCTGCCTGGGATGGGTCAGCAGACACAGTCCCTGACTTTTTTGAAGCCAAGGCTTCAGGAAAAAGAAAACAGCTGCAATCAGCCCAACTGAAAGTGGGAGCAGCTCCTGGTGCCTGGGATTCCAGCCAAGAAGGAGCTGTCGTGCCAGTTCACCTGTTCCAGGTAGGGGAACCCTCAGGCAGCTGGAAAAACAGGCACTGGGGCTTGAGATTCTTGTCATGGAATCCCAGAATGGTTTGGGTTGGAAGGGACCTTAAAGCCCAACCCATTCCATCCCTGGGCAGGGACAACTTCCACCATCCCAGGGTGCTCCAGGTTCCATCCAGCCTGGCCTTGAACACTTCCAGGGATCCAGGGGCAGCCACAGCTGCTCTGGAGAATCTTTACAGGGACCAGCAGGGTGTTGAGGTTTATGAGTGGAAAGCAGGAAGAGCAAAGAGAGAGGGTGACTGTTGTCTCCTCATTCCCTTTTTGGTGTTTTTGTTGGTTTTTCAAAACTACCAGATTTTTGGGGTTGGCACTTGCTCTTAGTGTGGCCTGTGGCTTTGTCAGCCTGCAGTGACGAGGCTTTTGTGTCTCTCATTTTTAATTCTGTTTTCTGAATTGATGGTGCTGATCCTTGCAAATGTGACTTTTGTAGCACTGAGAGGCTGGGGCAGGACCTGAGCTAGGGGAAAACACAAATCCCACCAGTCTGTCCACTCTCCTCTGTGTTACCTGGAGTGTTTCTCTGATTTTTTCCTGCTTTAGGATGATGCAAGGGATGGGTATCAATTTAACCTGCTCTGAAGCAGCTGGTGCATCCTTGGGAAAAGGAACAGGACTCCAGATCTGTGGCAGGGCCGCGTGACACCACGGAGGTTTTGTTGGCCTATTTTCTCAAAGCCCAGGTTTTACTCTTGAGCTGTCAGGTCAGATGAGGATTCAGTTCTGCGGCCAAAATAGAAATTAGCCATGTGTGGTAATCCATTAATCCCTGGAAATAATGCCATTTATTCACGTTTTGGGGAGCTGGGCTGTCCTCACGACGCCTCCTTGGGCTGCAGGAGGAGCTGGCCAGAGGTGTCCAGGCTGCCCTGTGCCATTGCACCTACATTCCAGCTGCTCTGACCCTTGGACAGGGAGGCTGTGGCTGCCCCATCCCTGGGATGCCCAAGGCCAGGTTGGATGGGGCTTGGAGCAGCCTGGGATGGTGGAAGGTGTCCCAGAGCAGTAATAAAGTACAGAAAAAATCAATCCATGGGGTTAAACCTGAGGTGCCTGAGCCATTCAGACTAGAATCATGGAATCATTTCAGATGGAAAAGATCTCCAGGATCACCGAGTCACAGCTGTGCCCCATCCCCACCTTGTCCCCAGCCCAGAGCTCCGAGTGCCACCTCCAGGAATTCCTGGGACACCTCCAGGGATGGGCACTCCAACCCTCCCTGGGCAGCCCCTGCCAAGCCTGAGCACCCTTTCTGTGACAGAATTCCTCCTGATGTCCACCCTGAGCCTCCCCTGGCTCAGTTTGAGGCCAATCCTCCTGTCCCTTTGCTGTTTCCCTGGGAGCAGAAGCCAACCCATGCATATCCAGGGAATAAAGGCTGCATGCAGTAGGATACCAGTTGATAAATTCACTTTTTTGTTTGTTTGTTTTAAAGGCAGTTCCTATTTCTTTTTTCAGAAGGGACAACAGTTGCCCTACAGCAGAGCTGTGTAATAATAACAGTTTGTGTCTCCCTGGATCTTTTCCTTTCCAGTTTTATCAACAAGAGGCTTCTTTTGTAGCACGTGGTTGTCCTTCCTTGCTCAGCCATGCTTTTCTCCCTGCCTGTTCTCTCAGGAGAGTTGTTACTATATTTTCCTTCTCTTTTTACCAGGCTGTATCATGACTTTGTGCCTTTGTGAGTAAGGAAAACGTGGGAAATGCTGCTGTGCCTGCAGCAGTGGGTTTTTGCTAGTTTTTTTTTTTTGTTCAGAAAATGGTATCGTTGCAGGCCTGTACGTGAAGGCCATAAATATAAATACAGAGTAAAACTCACGATGGTTTTGTGGGATTTTTTGTGGGATTGAAGCTTGGGCACCTCCCCATCCACCCCAGCGGGAAGAGAAGGGACAGGATGAGGAGAACCGGCCTCAAGCTGTGCCAGGGCAGGTTTAGATTGGAAATTAAGGAAAATTCCTTTGTGGAAAGGTTTGTCCAGGCCTGGCACAGCTGCCCAGGGCAGTTTGGTGGCTCCATCCCTGGAGGGATTTAAAATCCATGGGCATGTGGCACTTGGGACATGGGGCAGTGGTGGCCTTGGCAGTGCTGGGAATGGTTGGATTTTATGATCTTAAATGTCTTTTCCAGCCTTAATTCCATGATTTTCTGCTTGGTCCTGCTGAGCCCAGTCCTTTGCATCCACCTCAGCTGCAGCTCCTGGATTTCCTTGGAGTTTTCCTTCTCCTTTCTTCAGGACTGGAAATGCAAAGGGCTTTGGCCAAAACCAAAATCTCAGGATTTGCATAATCTTCCTGGCTGTGTTTATTTCTGATAAATTGAGGGACACCACAGCATGTTCCAGCCACACTTTATCACATCCCAGAGAATTTTTTTTTTTTTTTATCACATCCCAGAGAACAGATTCCAGGGGTCTGGCAGGGAACTGGCATCTGGAAAACCCTCCTGACAGGGATTTGGAGAGAAGCACTGATGTTCCTTTCACTTTCTGCTCTCCTGGAAACCTTCCAGCAACTTCAATTATTCTGTGGATTTTTAATTTTTTATTTTTTTTTTTTTCATGAGCTGGATGTGTTTTAAGGAGAAAGTGAACTCACCGCTGCCCTGGAAAATCAGCCCCTGCCAGGATTGATTACCCGAAATTCCAGTGGATTTCAGCAGCCTTTGCTGAGGGTGGAAAGCATCCCAGCACTCAGCACCTCTTCCCTGTTAATTCCACTTTTATCCTGGCTTTATTCCACATTTCCACATCCTCCTTCCTTTCCCTTCCCTTCTGTTCCATTAAGCGCTGCTGTGTGTCCCAAGGTTTCTAATTATAAATATAATATAATTATAAATAGTTAATTTGGGACATTTATATAATGCTCAAAATGATGCAGGCACAGTTTGCAGGGAGGTGTTGAACACAATTAACTGTCTAATCCCAAGAATGGGATTGGGAAAGAATGGGATTGTAAAACCTCAAGAATGGGATTAGATTGTAAGACATTTAGGCTGCTTAAATTAGAAATAGTAGGAGAAGGAATTGAAGGAGTAAATTAGTAGCAAGCTGGACTGGGGGGAAAAAATTAAGAAAATGAAGTTTGATGCTAATAATATTTGTTATTATTATTTTTTTCACTCATTGTATTAGGAAAAAGAAAACAACATGGAGCTTCCCAGTTGTGTATACGAGGAATAGAGCTGTGTGCTGAGCTTGAGTTTACTCCTGGGTGTAGGACCAGGCTTTGGAGGGGCTGGGAATGGCTGGGAATATTTCACTTCTGAGTAGCAGCTGTGGGAGCGGCACAAAGGTGGTGTGAAAGTTGTTGTCACGGGAGATTTTTCTACATTTGAGTTTATCCAGGGATTATTTCTGGTGGATTATCCCACTTTACATGGAAAGGCAGGATTTTCTAATGCTTATTCTAATGGCTGCCAAATTCCTGGGTTTTTTAGTGTGTTGTGAGGCAGGACTGTGTAATGCTCTGTGGAAATTGTACTGTTAAATTCAGTGTATTACCCTGAAATAGGGAGCTCTGGGGAGCAGCATTTCCAGGGACAGAATTTTAGCAGTGGCTGCAGAGCCACCATCTGGATAAATCCTGCCACAAAGCAGAGGTTGTGTGAAATTATTTCTAAATAAAGCAGGGCTGGCTAATGGCTGAGATGGGAGCCTCTCCTAATTAATCTGTTCATTAGCGATTGGATAAATCACAACAAATTAATAACAACATTCATTTTCCACCTCTGTTTAGAGGGATTGGAGTATTTCTGGACCTGTTTGTCTCCATCTATGAGTTTGCCTAAATTAAGAGACAGCACGTTCTCATCACACTTTTCCTCCAATTTTCTTCACATTGGGACTTATATTCTGGTCTCACCAATGCTGAAATTCTGAGTTGAGAGAGGAGATTCAGCTGTGGCAAACGTTCCCCCATGGAATTCATCCATGGAGCCCCTCATCTGTGGCTAAGGGAGTCAGGTGGGATCAGGAAACTCTAAAAGTGTGTATTAAAGGGACTCGAAGCTTTCTGATGTTATTTGGCTCCTTGTGGTAAAAAACTTTTCCTCTTTGTTATGAATTTTCCTCTCATCTCTGGGAATGACTCCCAGGATTGTTTCCTCAGTGTCCTCACATGGCTTTTTTTTAAGGAGGGAGCATTTTTGCCCTGATTTCTGGTGGTGTCTGTGAACCATGGCTGAGTGTTCATGTTCAACCATTCTGTTGCTGGATTTAAAATCTCCTGAATGAAATTTTGGCATGCACAAGTTGTATTTTCTTTTTCTTTTTGCATCAAAACTGAACATTCAATGTTAATGTGATGGGAGAGTATAAAACAGGGTTTAAATAAATTTAAATTTCAAGCAAACATTGCTTTTACTTTAGCTTCCTTCTGCCACGAGGGAGAAAAAACCCATATCAATTTGACCTGGAAATTTATCTTCTGCTTTGCTTCCTTGCAGGTCCAGGATGGAACATTCCTGCTCGCTCCTGCTGCTCTGTGTTAGTTTCATTTTTGCACGAGCTCTGCCACCCAATGGAACAGAACTGCCCAAAACAACCACAACAACCAGTAAGGAGTGACCTGTGGGGAGGATGGCATGGAGCTCAGGGGGTGTCCCTGGTGGCACAGTCCAGGATGGTTTTGCAGGACTCTGACCCCAGTGACACAGTTCTGATGGTGCCAGGTGTCCTCTGGGTTTGCTCTGCACGTGGGTGCTGTTGGGGTTTCACTTTCTCTTTGCCATGGGAGGGAAAACCACGGCGGAGGTGGAGGAGCTGCAGGGGCCAGGGGCTGCCAGGGGGATCTGAGGGGATTTGGGCACAGATAACAGGAAATAAATTTTCATTAGACGGCAGGATGAATAGAAAACTGAAACACTGTGAGGAGCCTGTACACAAGTTCTGGGTTTTCATGCAAAGACTTGAGGAGGGTGTGAGGTGTCCTGTGGAGGGTCCTGCCAGGTGAGAAACAGGAGAGCTGTTCCAGGAGCTGAGAGTGATCTCCTCCTCTCTGGATGCCTTGTGCAGGCTGCCCTAGAGCAGAGGCTGGGCAGAGCTCTCTTGGCCACCACAGCACCTCATATTCATCCTCATTTCTGTTTGCAGAATTTTTTCCTCCTCAAACCCTCCCAGAACTACGTCCTGACATGTGGCAGTCCTGGGGAGGAGCTTGTTCAGGGGAATTTGGAGGGTTTGAGGAAGTGCCCAAGGCCAGGTTGGACAGGGCTTGGAGCAGCCTGGGATGGCACAACGTGTCCCTGCCCATGGCAGGGGTGGAGTGGGATAATCTCGGAGGCCCCTTCCAGCCCAAAGCAGGGAGATGAAGCTGCTGATGTCCCATATGAGCAATGTGACCACGTTTTGATGACTGTTCAGGTCACTGTTGTTGACACCCAGTGTTTCATAGAAGGCTGATTTATTGCTTTACTTGCTTTTAATCTGTTTGTGAACTTTACACCCCTGGGGAAGGAGAGGAATTGAATGCCAGGCTGGGCTCATGGCCCCTGGGATTGTTTTGGTTCTTGGTTGTAGTAATTTAAATGGAAGTAGGGGAGATTTAGATGGGATATTGGGAATAAAATGAGGGTGGGCAGCCATGGCACAGGGTGCCCAGAGCAGCTGGGGCTGCCCCTGGATCCCTGGCAGTGCCCAAGGCCAGGCTGGACACTGGGGCTGGGAGCACCTGGGACAGGGGAAGGTGTTCCTGCCATGGCAGGGGTGGAAATGGATAATTTTGAGGACCTTCCCATCCCAAACCAGTCTGGGATTTGCTGCTAATTCAGGTGTGAGCATTTTCCTTCTGCAGGATCTGACTGCAGGCTGGGTGCAGCCCTTGCTGGGCACTCCGGAGCTCTGCTGGGGGGACAAGGGGCTCCACCATCAGCAGTGACAATCTGAGTGTGCCTGTGCTTAGTGCTCCCAAAAAAAACAAATTATTCATAGAAATGAAGCTTTAGCCGAGTGTGAGTTTGCTAATTAATCAGTTTGAAGTATTGTCAAGTAGATTTTGGTCCCTGCTTCTTGTCTGGCACCTGCAGCTGTAGGAAAACAAGTTACTAATATTGGGCTGAGTATGTCAGAATATGGGAATTGAGAAGGGGAAGTCACTTGTTGTTTTTATCACTTCCCAGAATTTTAATAACATGAGTACAAAGGGAGTTTTGCTATCAGTGTCGTTCATCTTCAGAGCTTAATTCCAAATTGTGTTGGATTTAAGTCTGATAATATGGATAAGAGTAATCTGATCATTCCTATTTTAATTAAATCTTAATTTCAGTGATATGATTCAGAAATGATTGGTGTGACTAAAGTTTTTTTCCTAATTATCAAAGCCTTCCTGGCTTTGCAGTGAGAAAGAGTTTTTTCTGACAGACAAGTAGGTGCACCCTGAAAATTACACTGCTGCAGAAAGAGAACCAAGATAATTGGATTATCTAATAAATTTAGCCATTGAATTAATACAGCATTTTAAACTATAAAAATAAAGACTTTTGATTGAAGCATAAAGAAAAGTTCATTTAACAGGCTATGGAAAGAACTAAAAGAGCCTAAAAAAAATCAGTTTTCCTTTTGCATGCTAATTTGATGTGTGATCCCAAAAGATACTTTTGATTCTGAAAGGAATAGGTATAAATGATTCCATGTCATTATTTGAGCTGCCTTGATTTTTTCAAAGATTTGCTGAATTACAATGTCAGCTTTATTCTTATTTAAAACATGGTTACCTTGTCTGGATGGGTCGATTTTTAGCACTGCTGCCATTTTACCTCCTGCTAGAACACCCTGAAATTGCAGCCATGAAATTGCTACCTTGAAATTTCCCTTTTAGAAAATGAGAATATTCTGGGGTTTATTGCACTGCCATTTACTGGAAATTTGCCCTGGTCTTTACTCCAGGTATTCAACTCCATTAAATAAATATAAACCATCAAACCACAGAATGGTTTGGGTTGGAAGGGAGCATCTAATTCTGGCTTCCAAGCTAATATTTATTAGCTTTGCATAAATAAATGTATATTTGCAGTAGAGATATCTTCATGCTCCCAGATCCTTGTTGCAGACTGTTTATTCATGATATTGCCCGTGACCATCCCGTAACTCCTGGTAATTCAAATATTTGTAAGTTCCCCAGGATTAATCATAGTCTGGTTTGTTTTACTTCCTCTTGCATTTTTACTTTTGGAGTTGTTGAAATGTGCAAGCAGCCTGGGAGCTGCAGTTGTAAACCTTCAAATACCTTTCCAAATGTTTGCATTCCAGTGGTATTTACTCCATGAGGGTTCCTGGTGCCTTTGAATCCTCACAATTCCTTCCCATCCCTGATGTCTGAACCTTCAGAGGCAGTGAAGTTATCAGAGGAGTTGCAGGTTCAAAGGCAGGAAAATGGGTCAGGTTTGGGGCTCCTGTTCAGTGCTGGTTTCAGCTTCCAACAAGTCAGTGGGAATGTGAAAATAAGATTTTGTGTGTCTCCACTCTGGAGAGACCCCACCCAGGACACCGTGTCCAGCCCTGGGGTCCCTGCATGGGGAGGGAGCACCTGGAGCTGTGGGAATGAACCAAAACGTTCCGTGGGATGGAGGAAAGGCTGGGAGAGCTGGGATTGTTCAGGCTGGGGAAAAGAAGCTTTGGGGTGACCTCAGTGAGGCTTTCCAGAGCCTGAAGGGGCTCCAGGAGAGCTGGGGAGGAGCTGGGGACAAGGCATGGAGGGACAGGACACAGGGAATGGCTTTAAACTGAAAGTGGGTGGATTTAGATGGGATTTTGGGCAGGAATTGTTCCCTCGCAGGGTGGGCAGCCCTGGCACAGGGTGCCCAGAGCAGCTGTGGCTGCCCCTGGATCCCTGGCAGTGCCCAAGGCCAGGCTGGACACTGGGGCTGGAGCACCTGGGACAGGGGAAGGTGTCCCTGCCATGGCAGGGGTGGCACTGGGTGATTTTTGAGGTCCCTTCCAGCCAAACCATTGTGTGACTCTGTAGTACCGAGGAGGACCCAGAGTGGGACTTCCCTGTGAGACTCGTGCTGGTGATTTCATGGAGAAAATGAGGCAGCATCAGAAAACTGACTTGTGGAGGAGGAATCTGGCTCATTTTATTTCGTATTTAAATGCCAGAGGGATTCTCTGCAGACACTCAATTCCAAGAATTAGTTTGCAAAGCAGAACTTCAGAAATAGGTGGTTTCAGATCAGGGGTTGGACTGGGTGACATTTAAAGGTCCCTCCAGGCCAGACTCAGATTGTGTGACTGCAGTGCCAGGTGGGCTGTGCTGGCTTTGCCCAGTGGGGTTCAGCTCTGAGGTGTTAAACTCACATTTACTGGTACTGGTGCCTTGTGCAGGCTGACTTACAACAGAGACTGAATGGAGCTAAAGAATAAAGCAGGGATTGATTCAAAGGATCTCCTCCATGGATCCACCTTGGGCAGCACAAGAGCCCAGCCAGGGCTGCACCCAAAATGAACCCAAATGGTCCCAAAATGCACGAGCGCTCACGGGGTCTCTCCCTGGGATCAGCTCTGCTCCATGTGCACATTGCAGTTCAGTGTCCAATTCCAGCTCAGCCCCTGCACTCCCATCCTGCTTGTTTTTCTCTCTCCAGCCCACGGGGTTTGTGCTCTTGGGCTGAGATTTGGATCATTTGTCCTTGGTGCCCAGCTGGAGCAGGAATTGTTTTGTCTCCCTGCTCTGTGCACAGAGCTCACCATCCCCTGGTGTGAACCCAGACCCACACACTAAAGCAGCACAGAATGTGGAAAGCAGAAAAGCCAAAACCTGAGGCATAATTTCCTGCTGGCTGTGGGTGCTGGTTTCCCTCCCCTACCTGTGTTTTTTCCTTTGCCCTTCCTTTATTTCATATTTTTTTCTCTGATTTGGGTTTTGCTTCACACATCCCAAACAAATCTCCTGGTTATCAGCTGCCCATCAGCTGCTTCCCTTCTGCAGCCATGGCAGGGTTGGGGTTTTCTCTTCCAAAAATAGCTTGAGTGGGTTTAGTGTGGGTTTTGTCATATTCCCTGTTGGACATTTGTTTGTGATATCTCTGGGTTTTGAAGAGAAGATCAGACCTGTGCAGAAATAGAGTTGGTTCTTGTGGGATTTCTCTTGTGCTCAGATAAAGATTTTGTTTCATCTCGCTCACCAGAATAATTTCAGGTTTAGGGCAAACTTTGCCCTGCCAGCTTGCTTTTCTACAGGGGGAAAAATTGTTTTAATCACACAATTTTAATCACACACTTTTAATCACATCCTCCTGGTGATTATCCCCCTCTCTGGGGAATACTAAAGTCACTTCTTCATTTTATCTCTAAACAAATACCCTTGGGATGATCTTTGGCTGGCTGTGAACAGAAATCCTGGTGGTTTTGGGGCACAGCTCCTGGAGTGGGAGCAGTGGGAAAGTTTCCCTGCTTTGGAGGATTTGTCTCACCTGCATCTATTTACTCCAGTCATCAATTTTTGAAGCAGTAGTGATTAAAAAGTTATTTCAGGCCTTTGTTCCCCTTGAAGTCCCCCTTGGTCTGGAGACAGTTGTGTTGGCCAGAGGTGTTTCAGCCTCTGAGCCTGCAATGGCCTCAGTTTTAACTTTCTCATGCAATTTCGGGGCTACATTTATAAATTTTGTCATATTAAAGAAAATAGAGGTAAAAAATGAAACAAAATAGAGGTAAAAAATGAAACAAAATAGAGGTAAAAAATGAAACCACACTGTGCCTTATTCCCAGGCTCTGCAGGGATGAAGCCATTGGGAAGCAGCTGCAAGGGTTTGGGAATAAATGAATAAAGAAAAAGGGACTTTTAGTGGATTGTGACCCAATTTCCTTGTGAAATGGCAGGAGGAGAGGCGAGATCTTGGGACAGAGAATTAAATCAGTCGTGGTGGGGGTGCTCTGTCCTGAAGAAGTGGGGGCAGTTGTCTGGCACAAGGTTCAGCTTCTCTTTTCCTGGCTGGGATTGAGCTTTCAGTGTTTGCCTGGGAATCAGTTCTCCACAGACACCCCAAAAATGGAGCAGCAGTTCTGTGAAAGGAAGAGAGGGGTGATTTTTTTTCATTGTGTAATTGTCTGGGGGAAGTTTTAACTCCCTCGTGGTGCAAACTTGTTGTTTCCCCTCTCATGTCACTGGTCTTGTCTCAGAGCTAAAGAGAACCAACACAAACCCCCAAATCCTGAGGGTGACATTTGAACTCTGTGCAAGTGGCTGCGTTTTGTCTGTGAGGGACAAAACCAGGGATTTTTTTGGTGTTTGTTTCCTTGCCAGCCTTGGCTCCCAGACAGAGTTGCAGAGCACCCCTCAGACAGCGTTGGGTGGTTATTCATCCTCATCCAGCCGCTCCTTCCAAGAGTGATTTCCTGAACCCCTGCCAAGCCATGGCTCCCGACTGCAGTTTTGTCATGCCTGTCACTTTTATCTTTACACACCACCTAAAACTCATCCCTCGTGCCTTTTATTGCCTTCCCTGTCTGGGAATTGTGATGTTGATTTATGAGCCCTTTTTCCCTCTGTGTCCCGAGCTCACCTGTGCCTCTCCAGGAATTGTTTCCCATGCCCCCACACCCTGTGGAACATCCAGAGAGTTTCCAGCTGCCCCAAACTCTCAGATGGTTTCGTAGCCATCAGTTCTGGGTGTTTGTTTGATCCACGGGAATCCTTTCTGGATTATTGCAGGTGTTACTTACTCCTAAATTTTTTTTTTTTTTTTTTTTGAATCCCAAAATTGTTTGGGATGGAAGGGAATTTAAAAATCACCCAGTGCCACCCCTGCCATGGCAGGGACACCTTCCCCTGTCCCAGGTGCTCCAGCCCCAGTGTCCAACCTGGCCTTGGGCACTGCCAGGGATCCAGGGGCAGCCACAGCTGCTCTGGGAATTCCAGCCCAGCCCTCTCCACCCTCCCAGCCAGGAATTCCTCCCCAATATCCCATCCAACACTTCTGTCTGTCAGCTCTCAAAGGCCACTGTAGGCATGGTAAAAAAACTCCTTAAAGTGTGTGAATGTAGTTTAAAAGAGAAAAAATACCAGCAGCAAAATACCAGCAGCAGAAATTGCCTTAATTTTGGAAGAGTGGTTGTAGGGTTGTGTTTTGCTTGCTGAAGGTTCAGACTGGGAGTTTGGCTTCCTTAAATAAAACATGTTGGCTTTTTAATGATTTTAATCTGTTCTGTATTGAATTATTCAGCAGAACTAAAAGGTTACAGAAGCATAATGAAAGTGAAAGGTAAAGAGACACTTCCGTAAAACACTGCGAACAGAAGGGTGAGACTCAGAGCTTGTACCAGATATAACAAAGATGTTCTTTAATCTCCATTCTGAGGAAAATGTCATTATTCCTGCTTGTTCTTATATGTATATAGAATTTCAGTGAATCAAATCTCTTAGAATTTCAGTGAATAAAATCCCTGTGAAAGGTGGCATTTTCATATTTTTCAAATTTTTCATATTTATTTGAAAGGTGGTGGAGAAGCAGCTGATGTGCATAAGGGCACTGCAGCAAACCTTTTAATGGGCTACAAATTCAGCTCGGTACCTTATAGCTGCTCAACTTCTCTGATTACAGGGAAATTGAAAAATATCTTGGATTTTCTCAGCAGCAGTAGTTTGGTTGTGCTTTTGATAAGGGAGAAAAAAAATTAAAAATTAAAAAAAAAAACCTTTCAGTTTTAGCTTTGCCTGTGTCAGGTATGATGAAGCTTTTAGTAGCAGAGGCAGATAATTGGACAGAATTTTTGGTGCCTTGAGCACAGTTTTTGTGCCAGATGAGGCAATCCACATCTAATACTCCACATTTCTTGTTCCATCCCCAGACTCCACCGAGGAGAACACCTTGCACAAGGAGCTGCTGACTTCCCTGCTGATCCTGGTGCTGGTGGTGGTCATTTTCGTGGTGCTGGTGGGGTATTTTTTCAGGTGGGTGTTCGTGGGCTCAGCCCATCCTTTCTTTGTGCCCTCCCACGGAAGCAGAAGCGAGGCAGAGCCGCGGCCGTGCCCGCCCTGCTCTCCCTGCCAGCATGAACAGAAAGAGCTTCTCCAGGATTACGTGGTCTGTAAAAAAAGGGTCTGGGGGGGGGAAATGCTGCTTTCCTCTTGCCTCAGTTGTGGATTGATGTGGTGCCTCTGTTCCAGGTTCAGGAGACACAGGAAAGCTGTGGTCAACTCCGGAGACAAGAAGATGCCAAATGGGATCTTGGAAGAACAAGGTATGGGGAGATTTGCTTCCAAACTCTCCTTTTTATTGCTGTCTTTAACTTAAAATTACTCAATGTTTGCTGTTATTTCTAATCTAAGTTGTTATTAAAGAGAAAATAGTCTGAAAAAATACAATCACAAATGGTTTGAGTTGGAAGGGACCGTAAACTCATCCAGCTCCAACCCTGTGCCATGTGCAGGGACATCTTCCAGCCCCTGGTTGTCCCCTCCAAGCTGGCCTGGGACTAGAGATCCATATTTAGAAATCCATACTCCACCAGTCTATGGAAAATCTTAACTTTCAGTTGCTGGTTTGAAATAGGTTTCGCTTTGTGAAGCAGCAAATGTTTCTGTGTAAAACCTCCCTGGGCTCTTTGGAGATGTTTTACCAGGACTGCAGCTGAGATCCACGTTTGTGATGCTGTGATCCGTGTATTTAGAGAAGGAACTGCAGTATTTCTTCTTAAGATGGGAAAAAAACTCCTTAATACTTTGTGAATACACTGGGTGGTTTCTGAACGTGGGGCAGGGTTTGAGATGGGGCAGTTTGAAGCCAGAGGCACCAAAATAAAACCCTCTGGGGAGTTCCAAGTGTTTCCCCCTGGTTTGAGTTGGGCTGGGTTTGTTTCTGCCGTGGGGAGCCCCGGGCTGGCTCCTCCGTGGGGCCCAGCTCAAACCTGGCAGGGCTGGGCAAGTTGTTTTAATCACAACCCAGAGAAAAATGATCAAGTTAATAATAATAAATCTGTGGTTTGTGTCAGTCCCACGTGGCCATGCGTGATGTGTGAGTGAGCTGAAGAGGGTGGCAGGCAGAGGAAAAGTCAAAACCCTAAAAATACCCATCAGCTTCCTGCTGGGGTGTTCCTGTGCACAGGGCAGCAGCTCCTCTTGGGGCACAGCTTCTGCTGGCTGCCAAGTTAAAGCTAAATTATTTATTGTTATTATTATTAGCATTATTTCCCCTCAAAATGAAATAATCTGGCAGCATCTCCTTGGTGATAGGTGCCAAAAGCTGTCCTTGCCCTGTCAGCAGAAAGAACCTTCTCCTTTTCTGAATAAAACTTGGTCACTTTTAAATCCAGTGTAAATAGAGAAATCATTCATTTCACCAGCAGTGGCTCTTCTTGGCACCATTATGTTCCCAAAGCAAGCACTTGGCCTATGATTTGGTGTTTTAATTTCCTTTAAATCCCCTTCAGCACCTCAGAGTATCACGGCAGCAGTTTGCTTTGGCACCTTTCAGCACCGAGATGAATTTGTAGTTGGGAATGCCTGGCTCTGGCCATGCCTTTAACGCATCCTGCCCTTGTGCTGACAGAACAGCAGCGGGTCATGCTGCTCAGCAGGTCTCCCTCGGGCCCCAAGAAGTATTTCCCCATCCCTGTGGAAAACCTGGAGGAGGAAATCCGGATACGCTCGGCCGACGAGGGGAAGCTCTTCAGGGAAGAGTTTAATGTAAGTTTTTACACATGGGTGGCTGGAAACAGGGGGAAAAAGCAAAATATCTGTGAGTATTAATAATTCTTGTGTTGGGTGCGGGATTGGTGCTGTTCTTACAGGTTCTGTCATGTGTGGGGACCTTTCATCTGGATAAAACCTGGAGTTTTTACTCATTTGTGATGCTGAATTGGTGTTATATGAACTGTTTGCCTCTTGCTAACATTTCAAGAAGGTCTTTAGTGTTTTCCTGAAGCTGGAGGAGAGCAACATTGAATATAAACGTCTTCAGCAGTGATTTTCATAGTGGTGGTAGGGGGTTTTGGGTGTTTCATCTCCATGGGAAGAACTTAGAGGAGAGGACACAGGGTGGCCTTAACATTGCCCTGGTGGGGTTTGACTTCTTTTTTCCTGATAATTCGACTTTTTGCTCTTGGTTGCCATCCCAGCACTCCCCTCTTTGCAGCACAGAGTTTCTGAATTGTCTCAGCTCTCAGGGTTTTCCTGTTGAGTGTGGCCTTGGGCAGGATTTTGTGGTTGTAGGGATGAGCTGCACCTGGAGTCTGAGCCCCTGTGGGATTCCTGTGGAGAAATACAGCACCAGGAGCCTGAGCTCGGGGCCTTTTCCAGAATTTTTATGACTTCTCTTCACTTCCCTCCACAGCAGAAGCAAAGCAGGAGCTTAAATGTCAGGCGTGGATTTGTGAGAGCCAAGGCACGTGTTGATTAGGCAGGCTGTTGAGTTACCTTCTTAATTGGGAGCATATTTAGAGCTGCAGTTTGGTTGATGATAAATTTAAACCACAGACTTCTGCCTTATCAGACAGGGAGCATTGTGGAAATCCTTCTCAAAGCTGAAAATGAAAGTGAGAACCAGCCTGACAAAGTGTGCGCGGGTGAATTTTGACTCTCCTGATGAATTTGCTCTGAGGTTCAGAGTGAAACAAACCATTTCTTTTCATTTTTAAACCCCTCTTTGCTTTGGTAATTTTCTGCCCCATGCTGTGAGCGTGTGGGATTCTGTCCACACCCAAAAACCTGGGGTCTGATCCCCAAAAATGAGCAGTGATGGGGCTGGATGGGGTTGATGCTCAGTGTGATTTTTTTCCTGTGCCTGGATGAGCTGTCTGCTCCAGCCTGGGAGGGCTGGCAGTGTCCCAGGCCAGGTTGGACACTGGGGTTTGGAGCAGCCTGGGACAGGGGAAGGTGCCCCTGCCATGGCAGGGTGGCACTGGATGGGATTTAAAAGATCCTCCCAACCCAAACCATTCCGTGATTCTCTGGTTCTGTGCCTCAGCCCTGCCCTGGGGATGCTCCAGGGATCTCTGCCCACTCCCCATCCCACATGTCAGGGGCCAGGCGTCCCTGGGAATGCAGATGCAGGAGCTCCAGTAGGAATTAGGGACAAATTTGGGCTGAAAATGGTGAGTTCTGGGAGCCAGGCACGTGCACCAACCTGAGGGGTTTGGTCCCAAGTGATTTTTTTGGTAAAAAGAAACCAGACATTAAAAGATGAAGACACCCAGCAGGGAGAGAAGAGTTTTGAGGACAGTTCCTGACTTTGAGGACAGTTCTCTTGGATTTATGTGCCTGATGGTGTTCTCCAGCACCTTTGATTTTGTCCTTAAAGCCTGTATGACCCTTCAGAGGTCCATTGCACCCCTTGGACACTCACCAGGATAGCAGAGGCTCTTTCTTTTTTCATGTGATTCCTTTGTGAACATTGGGCACTGGAAGAGTGTGTTCTTTCTTAACAGGAAAAAAAGAAAAAAAATTAAAATAAAATTGATTTATTTCTGTAAAGCCCCCACCTCTGCTGACCATCCCTGGAAGTTTGGGATTATCGCCTTGATTTTCAGATTAATTACTGAAATGCTTCCCCAAAGAGTTTTCTTTGGAAATTCGAATTCTGGCTTGATTAAGACATCCCTGTGCTTGTTCAGTGCTAAAAAAGGAGGAATTGAGCTGATCCTGGGCGGGCTGAGCCTCTCAAAGCTCCAGAGGGATTTTCGGGTTGCAGCCTGGCAGGGACAGGTCAGGGTGGGCTGGCAGCAGATGGGGCAGGGCCAGCAGGACCCGTCAGCTCCTCGTGGTTTGGGGAGCTGGGAGGATGTGCTGAGGAGCATCCGGGTGATTCACATCCTCCCCGTGGGTGGGAGCAGGAGCTGGGCTCTGCCCTGCTCAGCACCCGGAGCATGCAGAGGGGCTCTGGCCAAAGTTAATTCCTTTTCTTGTGTTTTTCACAGCAAAACCCAGAATTTCTCTGGCTGTTAATTGAAAATTGGGTGCTTGACTTGAAGTTGGAAGAGATAGTGTTTAAAAAGATAATTATTTCGTAGGGTCACAGGATGGTTTGGGTTGGAAGGAGCTTAAAGTTCATCCAGTTCCGACCCCTTGCCACGGGCAGCGACACCTTCCACTATTTCTTTTTACACAAAAACTTCATTTTTTGTGTTTCATAAATGTACTTTAATCAGCAAAATGGGCCGATAAAAACCCACGAGCTTCATTCACATCAGGAATTAAGCAGTCTGCTGACAGCAGCTTTCTTCCTCAGCCTCCTCTCTCTTCCATTCACAGCTTCACGTGCCACAAAAGCCCCAAAAAGCAAGCCCGGAGTGCAGGGTGCTGTTTGCCCCCCTCTCCTCCCGTGTCCCCCTGTGCAGCTCTGGGGGAATCCCAGCCCTGCCTGACCCTGGTTTTCCTTGCCCTGTGACTCAGGCTGGCAGGAGGTGCTGCTGCCTTCCCACGCTGCTGGGCTTTTGCCTCGTGGGATTTGGGGCTCAGTTTAAGGAACTTCATGAAATCCTCCTCAAGAACTTCTCCAAATCTGGTTCTGCTTTGGTCCCTCTGCAGTGGCAGCATCTCAGAGTGGAGGAGCCCCCCTTGGGCACCTCCTTGCTTTCATCTTCACCCTCTCCTCTGCTTTTTCCTTTGGTTTATTGCCCTCCACAACTGTTTGGGTTATTTTTGAGCCAGATTAAATTTACCTGCACTCAGCTCTTGCTGATGACTCAGAACTTGACTCACACTGCATAAAAGCCCTTTATTTTTTATGAGTTGCAATTATTTTAACCATAATTTTATGGTTAAGATAATTGTAACCCATACAATTATTTTATTAATAATAAATAATAGAATAATCATATTATTAGTATTATAATAAATAATGTTGTAACAATAACTAAATAATATAATAATTATAATATATAATATTATATATGATAATGTATAATGGTATAATAGAGATATTTATATATTATATATAATACTATATAATATATATTATATATAATTGTATAATAATAAATAATTATTATATATGTCAATTATATTCTAAATAATCTAATAATATAATTGTATTATAATTATGATATAATAAACAATTGTATTGTTTATTACATTATATAAAATCAATATAATGAATTTATATAAATTTATTATATAAATTATTTTCCCTTCCTCCTTTTCAGCCAGGCTGGGCCCTCACCTGCAGAGCTGAGCAGGATGTTGGATCTGTGATGTCCTCAGCAGTGAATGAGAGGCCCAGCCCAGCTCCTGTGGCTGCCATCAGTGCTCTGAGTCTCCGTGGCAGATGGCAGCTCCAGGCAGCAGCTCAGAGTTGAACAATTTGCTAAATAACTGTGATCTCAGAGGGAAAAGATTCCTTCTCTCTCCCCAGCTGCTGAACTCACTGTCTGGAGTCAAATCTGCCAGGATGTAGTTGCCTGCTGGAAAGGAATTAAAGTTACTGGGGGGAAAAAGTTGAAATATATTTAGTTCTGGCGGATGCAAATTTTCCCTAAGCCATGCGCAGTCAAAATTATTTGTTTTCTAACACATTGACTCTATATCTTTTTTCTTTTTTTTTTCCCCCAGTCATTAACGTCTGGATATGTGCAGGGAACATTTGAAATGGCAAATAAGGAGGAAAACAGGGAGAAGAACAGATATCCCAACATCCTGCCATGTAAGCACTCACTTTTCTTTTAAAGCAGACAATTCATTTTGGCACTGAGCAGGCTGCTGGTAGTGCTGAAAATACTCAAATAATAACAACTTCACTGGTCAGAAATGCTGTTCTTGTGTTGTCTGTGCTTTTCCAGGCCTCCTGCTTGCAAGGAAATACCATATTCCAGATTTAATGCCTTCCCAATGTCCTTGTTTTCTTTCAGATGATCACTCCAGAGTGATTTTGACCCAAATTGATGGAGTCCCACCTTCAGACTACATCAATGCATCATATATAGATGTGAGTTGAGAGTTGCCCACAGCTGGCCAAACTTTGGGCATTAAAGAAGCAATTCTCTGCTAGCACACCTTGGCCTTTCACCTTTTAACTGCTGTGGCATTTATTTCCACAGGGTTATAAGGAAAAGAATAAATTTATAGCAGCACAAGGTAACTCCTTCTCATTTCTCTCTTCTCTATAGCTTAGGGTTGAGCACATTTAATTACAGATGTGTTTGAAAGGTTATTTTTAGCTGCAGGTGGTGGTCAGGGGTGAGGTTGGGGTCAGAGGTTGCTGCTGAAATGAGCTGGAGATGTGTGTGAGGTGACCAGCTGCCTCTAGGCAGTTCTGTAGGTTCTGCTCTGGCAGAGACTCATTTCCCCCTCCTGACCCTCTTTGCTGGAAATTGGTGTCTCCTGATGATCCATTCCAAGGGAACCTTGGACCTTGGCATGGGGAAGAGCTGCAAAGTGGGAATTCTAAATGTTGCTCCTGCCATAGTTACAAGATGAAATAATATTTGAGATTTAATGTGTTACCAAATCTTCCAGTGCCTGAAGGGGCTCCAGGAGAGCTGGAGAGGGACAAGGCATGGAGGGACAGGACACAGGGAACTGAAAAGTGGGTGGATTTAGATGGGATTTTGGGCAGGAATTGTTCCCTAGCAGGGTGCCCAGAGCAGCTGTGGCTGCCCCTGGATCCCTGGCAGTGCCCAAGGCCAGGCTGGAGCAGCCTGGGACAATGGAAGGTGTCCCTGCCATGACAGAGAGTGGAAAGTAAATTATTAAATGCTTTAAATGATCTTTAAAGTCCTTTCCAACTCAGACCATTCTGTGATTTTATGAGTGATATTTCAAGAGAGGAAATTCCTTCTAAAAATGTAGATTTGGGTGTATTATTGTGTGAAAGAAAACATGAGGGGGGATAATTTAATAAGTAAATACAGAAATTTGGTAGATTCCAAAGGTGTGCAGGTGCAGCAAACACAGCTGTGGGTGGGTGCCCAGGCAGGGTGTGGGACTGCTCTGGGATCTGCCCCATCCCTCTCCTGAGCATTTCCCTCTTCTGTCTGCAGGACCCAAGCAGGAAACAGTCAATGACTTCTGGAGGATGATCTGGGAGCAGAAATCGGCCGTTATTGTCATGTTAACCAACCTGAAAGAAAGAAAAGAGGTAAAGAGCTTTCACCCTGCTCTGGGATGTCCCCTGTGCTCCAAAAGCAGTCAGGGCTGCTCAGGGGCTCACCAGGTGCATTTCTCACCTCTTCCTGCCCTGGCCCCTCTCAGCACAGCCAAGTTCCTGCTCCAAAATACAGTTTTCATGTCTGAAATACCCATTTATATCAGGTGATCTCAAGGAGAAAATGGTGATGGCCAGTTGTGTCCTGCATAGCCCAGGGCCAAAGGAAAACTCCCGTGGTTTTATCCCTGTGTAAGGCTACACTTGTGGATGGGATTGATTGGGAAGGAAGATTAAAACTCTGCTCATTTTCCTGAGTATTATGTTTCAAAATGCACAGTTTGTCAACTAAACAAAGAGAAATGAAAGCTGCTGTGCTGTGAGGGTGCTGCTGTTCCTTCCTGTCCCCCACTCCTCCCCTGAGGATGGGCATTCCTTGTTTTCCTCCTGGACTTGATTTTCCTGCACTTCTACTGCAGCTTGATGAAGGTCAAACAGCAAAGCCAGGCCATGAGGGCCAATTCCCGTAGGAGCAGCCAGAACTGCTAAATCTGGATATTCCTGATGGATCCAAAGCAGAACTGCTTTGAATTTCTCCCTGGCTGCAGCTAAAGCTCAAAATCGGAGTGAAAACCTCACAGTCCCCACAGCTGGACACCCTGTAACTAAGCTGCCAAACTGAAACAAAAGCTGTGGGGGCTGAGCTGGTTAAAAAACAACTCAAAGCTGTTCTCACCTCTCTGCATCAATTTAAGAAGCAGTAGCAGGGTGCTGAAGTTGTGCCAGGTGAGGAGCTCTGCACACACAGCTGTGCTCACCTTCCCTGATCAACCAGGAGAGCGTGGCAGTGAAAGCAAAGCCAGGGTGGTAAAATTCCCTGGGTTTGGCTCTGAAATTCCCTGTGCCTGGTTCTGAGATTCCCTGGGTTTGGTTCTGAAATTCCCTGGGTTGGGTTCTCAGATTCCCTGGGTTTGGTTCTGAAATTCCATGAGTTTGGTTCTCAGATTCCTTGGATTTGGTTCTGAAATTCCATGAGTTTCGTTCTGAGATTCCCTGGATTTGGTTCTGAGGTTCCCTGGATTTGGCTCTGAGATTCCCTGGATTTGGCTCTGAGATTCCATGGGTTTGGTTCTGCAGTTCCATGGGTTTGGCTCTGAGATTCCCTGGATTTGGCTCCTGGATTTGGTTCTGAAATTCCATGGGTTTGGTTCTGAGATTCCCTGGATTTGGCTCTGAGATTCCATGGGTTTGGTTCTGCAATTCCATGGGTTTGGCTCTGAGATTCCCTGGATTTGGCTCTGAGGTTCCATGGGTTTGGTTCTAGAATTCCCTGTGCTTGGCTCTGAAATTCCCTAGGTTTTGTTCTAAGGTTCCCTGTGCTCGGTTCCAAAATTCCCTGTGCTTGGCTCTGAAGTTCCCTGGGTTTGGCTCTGAAATTCCCCGTGTTTGGCCCTGAAATTCCCTGTTTTTGTGCAGGAGAAGTGTTTCCAGTACTGGCCTGACCAGGGCTGCTGGACGTACGGCAGTGTCCGTGTGTCCGTGGAGGATTCCATGGTGCTGGTGGATTACACCATCCGCAAGTTCTGCGTGCACTCGGTGAGGCCGGAGCTGAGACAACCTCAAATGTTTGCTATTTGAAAAATCAGAATTTTAGGAATGTGGCTGATTTTAGCCAGCAGCCACACAGTGTGTTTTATTTTTGAGGCTCACAGATGAAGGCAAGGAAATGATGAATCTGACTCCATGTTCTTAGAAGGATAATTTATTGTTTTATGATCTATATTATATTAAAGAATGCTATACTAAACTATATTAAAGAGTACAGAAAGGATACAGACAGAAGGCTAAAAAGATAATAATGAAAAACTCATTACTCTCTCCAGAGCCTCAAAACAGCTGGGCTGTGATTGGCCAATAAGTAAAAACAATTCACATGAAACCAATAAAACAATCACCTGTTGGTAAACAATGTCCAAACACATCCCAAAGCAGCAAAACACAGGAGAAGCAAATCAGATAATTATTGTTTTCCTTTTTCTCTGAGGCTTCTCAGCTTCCCAGGAGATAAATCCTGGCAAAGGGATTTTTCCAGACAGTGACACATAGTGATTTAGGCTAAATAGCTGTGTGGTTGTTGGCTTTTGCTATTGTAAATTAACTTTTACCAGTTGTTAATCACAAGGATTTTAATATATTTATAATCACTTTTAACTACTTTTAATATAATAATTGTGATCTGGCCCCTGTGGAACTTGCATTCTCAAAACTTCATTTACTAATAACATTTTCATTTATGACCAGTGTAATAAATATATTATAGTTTTAACTTTTGCAAAGTATTAGAATATGTGTCATACATTTAACTTTTACAAAAATAGCTATAACTATCAAATAATAACTAATATTTTTGGGTTTTTTAACTCACTAACAGTAAAAACAACTGAAACATATCTGTAAAATAACTAATATCATCTATACACTTAGATAACATTTAAAAAAATCAGTAATTATCAACTACTAAAACCACAAAAGCAATGAGGTGTCACACTCAGAGTCTTGGTGTTCCTGCAGCTCCAGGAGGGATGCAAAGCTCCAAGGCTCGTCACCCAGCTCCACTTCACCAGCTGGCCGGATTTTGGGGTGCCTTTCACACCTATTGGCATGCTGAAATTCCTGAAAAAAGTCAAGACCTTGAATCCTGCCCATGCTGGACCAATTGTGGTTCACTGTAGGTATGTATGTGCTCCTCAGGCCATTCCTGTGGCTTGGCCTGGAGTTATTTATAGATATTTAAGTTTTTTAAACATATTTTTATATATTTTTAAAGACTTTATGTATATTTTAGATGTATTATATATATATATTTATATTATAGATATATTTACTCACATATTTCTATTCGAGGGTAATAATCTGATAAGTTTTTGAGAGCTGAGAGTAAAAACAATTTCCAAAGCTCTATCTTTGTTGTCAGTTTAATACTCAAACAGAAGTTGTTCTGCTCTTTGGGGTTTTTGTTATGAGAGATCTCCATTGTTTGGTATAAATCTGTTCTTTGTCAGAAAAACAGACTGGTGATAGAAATGTGTGGCCTTTGCCACTCAGTGCTGCTCTGGGAATTCATCCCCCACTTCTCCCACAGTCATATTGCAGTTTTTTTATGGAAATTAGCCATGAAATGCCTGAAAAGTTTGGAAGAAAGACTTGAATTCAAGAGACTTAAATGCTGCAATTTAAAAAATGTGCTTCATCCCAATCCAGAACCAATTCCCACTCGTTGGTCACTCACACAGGCACATCCTGCTGCTAAACTGTTGAAATCTTTAATGAAACTAAAACCAAACTCCCAAACAGTTTGAAGAGAATAATTGCAACCTCTGTAGCAGCTGTAAGCTCACCCCTGAGCAGGAAGTGACTTTTCAAGAGCAATTTTCATTGCAAGGTTAGAATAAAAAGAGCACAGGAGCAGAATGAAAAGAAAAGAAGAGCAGCTTTGTCTGGGTCTTGTTTTTAAGGAAAAAAAAGATGTAAATTCTTGTGTTTGTCTTTTTCCTTGCTAGAAATATGTGTGATAGAGAAAAAGAAGGGTATTTGTCCTGCTGGGATTCACCTTCTCACCCAGGTGTCATGAATAAAAAAACCATTTAGATGGGAAAAGTAGATTTGAGTTGTCTCAGTTGAGAATATTTTTACAGCCCTTTGCTGTATGTGGAACCTCATTCTGGGCTTGAGCTTTATCTGGCAGCAGCAGGAAATGCTGTGCTTGGTTTACCCAGCAGAAGGAAAGCCAAAAGCAAGGAAAACACAAAACAATTTCATCAATACCTGCAGAGATTTCAATCTAAAAGGCGAGGCCGTGCTGTGTCAGGGTGAGAAGTGAGGAGGACAGAGGTGACACTGAGCTTCCGTCCCACTTCAGGATGTGACACCACTGAATTGTTGGGAAAAGGAAAGGGAAGCCCATCAGCAGTGAGTAACCATCCATTTTTAGGGAGCCTGTAGGGAAATCTGCCCCAGCCACCCTGGCCAAAAGCTCTCCAGTCAGGTTTGGGAAGTGAATAAAACAATGACTTGGCATTTGGAAGTGAAGGAGTGAAAAAGAGGAGTGGCAGGATTTTCTGCTGATTCCTGTATTCTGTAAGGTTTTAGAAACAGGTTTTTTTAGAAGTCAAATTTTTTCAGTGGGTGGAGAGGGACTTTGAGGAATGGCTGAGTGAGGGATGCCACGAGGCAGGCTAAGGATGGAGACACTCAGGAGGTGAATGCCCAGGGTGGAGAAGTCACCAGCTTCAGCAGGAACGTGCAGGGATGGAACCCAGAGCTGATCTGGGAACCCTGGGAGGGAACAGGGATGTCCAAAAAGGGATCATGGCTGGAAAGGGAGTGAGGAAGCTGAGCTGGGCTGAAACCTCCAGGAATGAGCAGTGAGGGACCAGTGGGAACTGGGGAGGGGAGGTCAGTGCTCAGAGGTGGCTTCCAGGGCTGTCAGGAGGAGAACAATCTCTTTTGAGTGGGAATTCAGGCATTGGGACACGAGGGGCATTCCTTGTGGTGCCAGAGGACCAACATGGGTGGATGGAAGGGAGAGTGAAGGGAATCTCCATCATCCCTCCAGACCTCTGGAATAGTGGAGCTCATGGGTTTTGGTTTCCCTGCTGGTAAAGTGCGTGTGGAAGTGAAATAATTGTACTACAAATGCAATCATTTTATTGTTCTGGTCTTATTGAAAACCTGATGTTGCCTTGCTGAGAATTGGTTTGTATTTTTGAGCCTGTGAGGGGAGGGGAGATGTTTTTATCATGTTCCTGGAGATGTTTGTGGCCACTGCAGCCAAGCAAACTGCCCAGAGGTTAAAGGAGAGCTACTCATGACTAGTACAGGATGCCATGCCCTTTTCCTCTGGAAGGAAGAGCTGAAAGTCGCTGGAATTTTGTCATTTCTAACAGTCGTGCTCCCTCTCGTGGCTTTTCAGGATATAAAAACCAGAAAGTGTTTAGGGATGGCAACGTTGGGAAATGTGGAGCTAAAAATTCCTAAAAGAATAATTGAAATTTTATCTTAACCTTTAGAGTTTTATTATAGTTATTTATTTTATCTCAGCCTTATAGAGCTATTATAGAATTATTAGAGATGGTCAAGCAGACTTTATTTTCAAATGTCTTTTTAAATATAATTCTGATCCCATCAACTGGAGAGAGCTAGGGTTTTATGCTAAAAACATCCCTCTTTTTCTGCTGGCCTTGTTAAAATGAAAAAGGTGGAGGTTTAGATTGGATATTAGGAAAAAGTTTTTTACAGAAAGGGTGATAAAGCTCTGGAATGGCTGCCCAGGGAGGTGGTGCAGTCACCATCCCTGGGTGTGTTTAACAAAGCCTGGATGTGGCACTGGGTGCCAGGGTTCAGTTGAGTGTTGGGGCTGGGCTGGACTCGGTGATCTTGAAGGTCTCTTCCAACCCAGTGATAATTCTGTGAATTCTGTGAATTTCTTCACTGAAAGGGTGACCAGGCATTGGGACAGCCCACAGGGGTGGAACCCCATTCCTGGAGGGATTTTAAAGCCCTCTGGATGTGGCACTTGGGAACATGGTAGGAACAGTTGGACTAAAGGATCTGAGATTTAATGTTTCCCAGCCAGTATTTCAGTCCAGTCTGAGCACGAGGCTCGCTGCTGCAGCAGTTCCTGCAGATTTGGGTAATTCCAGGGAGATTTTTGTGTGTTTGTATTATGGCAACAACTCCCTGAACGGGGAGTAATTAGCACTGACTCCCTGATTGCAGAAGGCTGATCAATTGCTTTATTAAGCTATACTATATTATACTATACTGTTAAGAAACTCATAACCCTTACTGACTGTCCCACACAGCTTTGGCCTAATTGGTCAATCCCTCCAAACACCATCCAGTGTCCAATTAACAAACCTAATTGGTCAATCCCTCCAAACACCATCCAGTGTCCAATTAACAAACCACCCTCTGGTAAACCATCTCCACAGCACATCCCGCATGTCCCCAACAACAAGTGGAGATAAGAATTGTTTTAATTCTTTTCTCTGAGCTTCTCAGAGCTCCCCAGGAAGCTCCTGTGAGAGAGCCATGTCTCTGTGTGTCCAGAGGCTGTGTGGTGACCGTGTTTGTTCCCTCCCAAGCGCGGGCGTGGGGCGCACGGGCACCTTCATCGTCATCGACGCCATCATCGACATGATGCACGCCGAGCAGAAGGTGGATGTCTTCGAGTTCGTCTGCAGGATCCGCAACCAGCGGCCCCAGATGGTCCAGACTGACGTGAGTGCACCTCAGCCACCCGGAATTCCAGCTTTTCCTGGGCACAGAAGGAAATGCTGCTGTATTCCCACTCCGTTGTGCAGATCAGTGTGTCTCGTGCTGTTGGACAATTGGGAAACTGGGGCTTGGAGCAGCCTGGGATTAGTGGGAGGTGTTCCTGCCCATGGATGAGTTTAAAGGTTCCTTCCAACCCAAATCATTCTGAGATTCTCTAATTCAAAATGCACAAAGCTCAGTGATGGATGTGGGGTGAGGGAGAAGATAAAGGTGAAGAAGACTACTGTGAAACACTTAATTTTAATTTTTAGGAGTCATTTCCAGGTTTTCCCATGCACACGAGAGCAGAATGTCAGAGAATATGAGTGGAAATGTGAGCAAACAGGAAAACTCTGGTTCAGCATAATAATAGATTATTATTGCTATCGTTATTGTTATTATTACTATTATGTTAATAATGAGAAGATTGTCACCAAACAGTGACAAAACAAGGAGCAGTGGTTTTGAAGTTAGATGGGATATTGGGAAGGAATTATTCCTTGTGAGGGTGAGGAGGGGCTGGGATGGAATTCCCAGAGCAGCTGTGGCTGCCCCTGGATCCCTGGCAGTGCCCAAGGCCAGGCTGGACACTGGGGCTGGAGCACCTGGGACAGGGGAAGGTGTCCCTGCCATGGCAGGGGTGGAATGGGTGGGATTTAAGGTCCCTTCCAGCCAAACCATTCTGTGATTTTTAAATAAGTCCCAGAATTCCTCATTTCCCTCCCTTCCTCCTCCTCTGTGTCCCTTCCAGATGCAATATTCCTTCATTTACCAAGCCTTACTCGAGTACTACCTCTACGGTGACACAGAGCTGGATGTGTCATCCCTGGAAAAACACCTCCAGACTTCCCACAATGCAGCCCCAAACCTGGTCAAAATAGGCCTGGAAGAGGAATTTAAAGTAAGTATGGAAATCTTCCCCATGGGATTTCCAAGATAAAAGTGTAACCTTAAAGGTGCATCAAAGGGAAGGAGCTGTTTTATTTGGTGGTTGTTGTGAATGGGGCCTTGCTGAACATCCTGTTCCCTAAATTCAGATTTTAATCTCATTCCCTCATTCAGAGCTGTGTCATTCCGTGGCCTTTCCCTAAATGCTTTTTGTTTGTTTATAAAAGAAAAGTGGAATGATTCTCTGGGTGTGGTGCAGGGCGCCAGATCAGATAATGCTGGAAGAGGAAACTGGATTAGGTGCTCCTAATCTGCATCCCAGTGGGATTGTTAACTCTGAGGTGACTGACAGCAAGGAATGTACAGGGTGGGAGAAAAACCTTAAAAAAAACCCCCAAAAACTCCCTTTTCTTATCAGTGGAGAAACCCCAGATGAAGAAAACCACACTGGCTGTGTGTGATCATTATTTAAATGACTTTAGTTCTCTGAGGGAATAGTTAGAATTTTTTTTTATTATTATTTTCCTTACGGTAAAATATTTATTTTCTATATAGGTTTAAAGTGTTAATTGCCATCTGGGTGTTAGCTGGAGCTGTCCCTTTGCTTTAAAGGACTAATTTAACCAGAAATTGGGAACTGGGTAAACAAAGTCCGATCACAGAGAAACAAGTTCTAAATGGTATTGAGGGAAGGAAGATCAGATGGGATATTGGGAAGGAAATTTTGGCTGTGAGGGTGGGCAGGTCCTGGCACAGGGTGCCCAGAGCAGCTGTGGCTGCCCCTGGATCCCTGGAAGTGTCCAAGGCCATTTGGAGCAGCCTGGGACAGTGGGAGGTGCCCCTGCCACGGCACTGGATGGGATTTAAAGTCCCTTCCAGCCCAAACCATTCTGGGATGCTGTGACTGTTTTTCCTTCTTAATTTCTGTAGCCAGGACAGTGAAGTGGCTGCAGGCTCCCTGGGAGCGTGGCAGGGATTTTTTTACCCCACTGGAGAGCCCAGCAGTGCAGGGTGTGCTGGCCCCTCTGCTGCCCCGTGCGCTCACCCCTGTGCTCTCTGCAGAAGCTGACCAACGTGCGCATCATGAAGGAGAACATGAGGACTGGCAACCTCCCGGCCAACATGAAGAAAGCAAGAGTCATCCAGATCATCCCCTGTAAGTCATCCAGATCATCCCCTGTAAGTCATCCAGATCCACGTGTTGAGGGACGAGGCTTGACTCCATTTCAAAAGGCTGATTTATTATGTTAAATATTATATTAAAATACTACATTAAGACTATACTAAAAGAACAGAGAGATCAGAAAGCTACAACAAGAAGAGAACAGAACAGAATAGAATAACAAAATCCTGTGACTGCTCACAGCCTTGGCACAGGTGGCTGTGATTGGTCATCAATGGAAAACAATCCACATGGACCAATCATAAAGAGGCTCCAGGAGAGCTGGAGAAGGACTGGGGACAAGGGATGGAGGGACAGGACAGAAGGAATGGCTCCCACTGCCAGAGGGCAGGGTTGGATGGGAGATTGGGAATGAATCCTTCCCTGTGAGGGTGCTGGGGCCCTGGCACAGGGGTGCCCAGAGCAGCTGTGGCTGCCCCTGGATCCCTGGCAGTGCCCAAGGCCAGGCTGGACACTGGGGCTGGAGCACCTGGGACAGGGGAAGGTGTCCCTGCCATGGCAGGGGTGGAATGGGTGGGATTTAAGGTCCCTTCCAGCCAAACCATTCTGTGATTTTTAAATAAGTCCCAGAATTCCTCATTTCCCTCCCTTCCTCCTCCTCTGTGTCCCTTCCAGATGCAATATTCCTTCATTTACCAAGCCTTACTCGAGTACTACCTCTACGGTGACACAGAGCTGGATGTGTCATCCCTGGAAAAACACCTCCAGACTTCCCACAATGCAGCCCCAAACCTGGTCAAAATAGGCCTGGAAGAGGAATTTAAAGTAAGTATGGAAATCTTCCCCATGGGATTTCCAAGATAAAAGTGTAACCTTAAAGGTGCATCAAAGGGAAGGAGCTGTTTTATTTGGTGGTTGTTGTGAATGGGGCCTTGCTGAACATCCTGTTCCCTAAATTCAGATTTTAATCTCATTCCCTCATTCAGAGCTGTGTCATTCCGTGGCCTTTCCCTAAATGCTTTTTGTTTGTTTATAAAAGAAAAGTGGAATGATTCTCTGGGTGTGGTGAAGGTTGCCAGATCAGATAATGCTGGAAGAGGAAACTGGATTAGGTGCTCCTAATCTGCATCCCAGTGGGATTGTTAACTCTGAGGTGACTGACAGCAGGGAATGTACAGGGCTGAAGAAAAACCTCAAAAAAAAACCCCTTTTCTTATCAGTGGAGAAACCCCAGATGAAGAAAACCACACTGGCTGTGTGTGATCATTATTTAAATGACTTTAGTTCTCTGAGGGAATAGTTAGAATTTTTTTTATTATTTTCCTTACGGTAAAATATTTATTTTCTATATAGGTTTAAAGTGTTAATTGCCATCTGGGTGTTAGCTGGAGCTGTCCCTTTGCTTTAAAGGACTAATTTAACCAGAAATTGGGAACTGGGTAAACAAAGTCCGATCACAGAGAAACAAGTTCTAAATGGTATTGAGGGAAGGAAGATCAGATGGGATATTGGGAAGGAAATTTTGGCTGTGAGGGTGGGCAGGTCCTGGCACAGGGTGCCCAGAGCAGCTGTGGCTGCCCCTGGATCCCTGGAAGTGTCCAAGGCCATTTGGAGCAGCCTGGGACAGTGGGAGGTGCCCCTGCCACGGCACTGGATGGGATTTAAAGTCCCTTCCAGCCCAAACCATTCTGGGATGCTGTGACTGTTTTTCCTTCTTAATTTCTGTAGCCAGGACAGTGAAGTGGCTGCAGGCTCCCTGGGAGCGTGGCAGGGATTTTTTTACCCCACTGGAGAGCCCAGCAGTGCAGGGTGTGCTGGCCCCTCTGCTGCCCCGTGCGCTCACCCCTGTGCTCTCTGCAGAAGCTGACCAACGTGCGCATCATGAAGGAGAACATGAGGACTGGCAACCTCCCGGCCAACATGAAGAAAGCAAGAGTCATCCAGATCATCCCCTGTAAGTCATCCAGATCATCCCCTGTAAGTCCAGCTCCTCATCTCCAGGGACAGTGCCAGGAATGCCTGGCTGGGAGCACACGCTGGATCTGTGTGCCGGCAGAGCCCCGCTCTCCTTACAAACTGTCATCTGTGAAAGATTCAGTGAATTGGGTTTTACTGAATCACCCTAAAATCTGTTACAGTCGGGGATTTTGAGTTCAATACTTCAGTAGTTTCACCTGTTGAACCACCCCTTTTCTGTGTGATTCCATGCACGGTCTGAGCAGCACTGCAATGTTTGCACCTGAAAATGAACATTTCAGAGAAAAGATTGGGTGGGGTTTGTTCTTTCATGGGCAAAAGTAAGGCTGGATTTAAAATTAAGACTAGACTTTTTTTTTACCGGACTCAAAACTAAGCCCAGGCTTATTTATTTTTTTTTTCAGATGATTTTAACAGAGTGATTCTGTCCATGAAAAGAGGGCAGGAGTACACAGATTACATCAATGCTTCCTTCATAGATGTAAGTATACAATATTTTCATGCATTTCCTTTTCAAATCCAAGATTTTGCTGCTGCTGATAGGTCTTTTTAAAGAGTCACAATCAGCTTGGCTTGCAAAGAACATGAGCTTTGTTTATGGGAGTTTCCAAGTGTATTTCTTATCTGGTGTTTTTAATTTCAGTTTAAATGATTGTGCAATTTAAACCTTGTTGTTAGATTTATAAACCAAACCTTTTATTAAATTCTGACCAAACAAATCAGCTGCACAATTACAGACAGTGATTCCACTATCTGGGTCAGGTTAACAGGTGTAAATATTTGCTTTTCTGAGAAACAGAGAAGTCAGTGTTGAGCACAGGGAAAGCTGTGACAGTGTTTGGCAGCCAGGCTTTACTTGGGCAGAGCTGGACGAATTCCAAGCTTTCTTCCCAGCTTCCTGTTGGAAGCTGAACACAGGATTGTGTCTTGTTTTTGTTGAAATATGAGAATTAATCATGTCCTCAAGCAGTGAAACCACGTTAGTGACTGAGGGCTGTGGATTCCATACAGAGCATGGGAATAAGGAGGGGCTGGATGTGGCCCTCAGAGCCTTGGGCTTGGGTCACAGGTTGGACTGGATGGTCTCAGAGGTCTTTTCCAACCTCACTGATTCTGTGAAATTAAACTGAACCTCAAAACTCGAGGCAGAAGTTTGTTCTAGAGAAAGTTGGGAGCTGCTGTTGTGATGGTCTTGTGAAATGTGGCCCTGCAGAATCTCATCCCCTCAGCCATGACTGGAGAAATTCACCTGAGCATTGTGAATTTGAGGGAGATTTTAGAACCTTGGAAAAGCTCTCTCAGACTATGGAGTCCAACCATTCCCAGCACTGCCAAGGCCACCACTGCCCCATGTCCCCAGGTGCCACCTCCACATGGCTTTAAATCCCTGCAGGGATGGGGACTCACCACTGCCCTGGGCACTGACACTTTCTGTGGGGAAATTTCCCCTAATACCCAGCTCCCACCTTCCCTGGCGCAGCCTGAGGCCGTTCCCTCTCGTTCCCTGGGAGAGAAGCCGTGGTGTCCCCGTGAGGTGTCCCTGTCCCTGTGTGACCCCCTCTCTCCCCGCAGGGCTATCGGCAGAAGGATTATTTCATTGCCACCCAGGGCCCCCTGCCTCACACGGTGGAGGATTTCTGGAGGATGGTGTGGGAGTGGAAGTGCCACACCATCGTGATGCTCACCGAGGTCCAGGAGAGGGAGCAGGTACGTGGGACATGGGTTTGGGGAGAGCCCTCAAAGCCTGGCACAAGGCTCACACGGTGTGCAAACCTTGAGGTGAGAAATGCTGAGTTAGAAATGCCATGGAATAGGACTGACATTTTTGAGGGAGAAATGGAAATAGAAGCAAGTTTCAAAGGGTGGCCTTGCAAATAAGACTGGATACTTTGGAGAAATAGAACCATGAAGGATGCATTGTAGTAGGAGCCACTGTTGTAGTTCAGACAGAGACAATACAAAGCAACACACTCCATTTTCAGAAGGCTTCAAACTGTTTTTATTTTATTTTTATACATTCTTACAAAACTCATAAATTGACACTCTACTAATTGGTAGGAAAGACAAAGTGCACACTGGATCAGGCAGTTGCAGGTTTCTCTTATTTATCCTTCTTTCTTTCTTGTCCTGAATTGGTTTCTATGTCGATGACCTTGGTAGGAAATTCTTTCAGGGGTACACAGGGATCAAACTTCTCTCTGGCTCACAGAAGTCACTGTAAAACCTCTTCCACAGCCCACGAGCAGTAATTTTAGATGATTGGCTTTAAGGCATTTACAGCACGGTGTGGCAAAAGCTGACAGGCCCAGAAACACTAATATGCATTGTAATTAGGAAATAGCTTCTGATTGTGATGGTGTGAGTTATAACATCACATGAGACTGAAAATGGAATGAAAGTTTTTAAAAGGCCTCCCAGTTGCCCCATGTCTGAGTCAGGAAGGACCTGATCTGACATGTGCCCACCCTGCAGCCCCACACTGCCCCTTCCCCCCTGCAAACCATGAGTATCAGTACTGGAAAAACAATTTTTTTTTGCCTAAAAATTCCAGTTTTATGGTTTTTCCTAAAATGAGCACTTGCTTCACTCATTGGTGTGAGGCAGCATTGCTGCTTTTTTTGGAATTGTCAGGAAACACAAAAAAACCTGTGGAATATAGTGATTTTTGAAAGCTTCCAGTTTGCATCAAGGGATGCCTGACAGGGGACAGAGTTTTGGAATTTGGGAACAAACTTTTGTGTAAACTTTTATCCCGTTTGTCCCAGTAAAAGCTCCCGTTGCTCATTCTGAGCCTGTCCTGATTTGATTAAAATACAAGAATTAATTAATTACTTGATTTAAATATGAGAATTCGTGTCATTAGTTAATTAAAGAGTCCTGTGCTGCAGCTTGAAAATCCTGGGTTCAACAAGGGTGTTGGGAAAAGATTTTTCTTGTTGGTTTTGGGAGGTTTTTAACAATGTTACCTTGCTTTCAGTAATTCCATTTATTATTGCTGTTTTAAAGCAATATTTGCTATCTGGGCCTCCTGAGCCTTTTTCATCATGATGGTTTCCATTCAAGAAATATTTTATCACTGTATTCTTAGTGTTTAGAGCACACTTATTATGCTGGATGTCACTTCTTACGCCAGAGATTCATGACAATGTAGATAACTGGGAAAAATAAATCAAGGAATATTTGCAATTCTCTGGATTCTGCAGGAAAAATGCTGCCAGTACTGGCCATCAGAGGGCTCTGTGACTCACGGAGAGATCACAGTGGAAATCAAGAGTGACAGCCTGATGGATGCCATCAGTGTGAGGGACTTCCTGGTTACATATAATCCGGTAATTCTTTACAATTCCAGCGGGTTTTTTTTTTGTTGTTTTTGGTTTTTTTTCCATCGGAAGGCATTTACAAATCTGGTTATGTATCTTAAATTCTGGGATTTCTGTCTAAACTTAAATGTGGTTAATCAAAAGCTGGCATTAAGAGGGTACTTATATGAAATAATTTTGCTTAAAGTCCCTGAAAATACTGAGAATTCTGATCAGTGAAACAGGTGGTTGCAAAATGGGGGGTGGGTTTTTGGGGTTTTTAAACTGTTTTATTGTTGCTGTTTTTCCTAGATCTTTCTGCCATCTCCCACAGAGGTATCAAAGAAAATTTGATTCAAGATTTTTCACAAAATTTGGGTTTGGTTTGGAAGGGACCTTAAAAGTCATGTCCACTCCCTGCTCTGGGCAGGGACACCTCCCGCTGTCCCAGGGTGCTCCAAGCCCTGTCCAACCTGGCCTTGGGCACTTCCAGTGTATCCTAAGTCCTTCCCAGACGAAACAGCTGTGCAAACCAAAGGAAATTTGTAGGGGGAAATTATCAGTGGGTGGGGGATTTAGAAACAGAGCTGCCAGGATAAAATCTTGGAATATCACTGGAATTAAAATCACCAAGGTCCTTAATATGGAACAGACCAGGCTGCAAATTTTGCAGTGCAGAATTGCTGCTGCAGATGTTCCAGGCAGGAATTGTGTTTGCACCTGGGAGTGACGAGTGGCTGAAGGGTGTTTTCCTGCTGGCAGAGCAACCAGGAGAAGCAGAGCAGGCTGGTCAGGCAGTTCCACTTCCACGGGTGGCCGGAGATCGGGATTCCTGCCGAAGGGAAGGGCATGATCGACCTCATTGCAGCGGTGCAGAAGCAGCAGCAGCAGTCTGGCAACCACCCCATCACTGTGCACTGCAGGTGAGCCCCCTCTGCACCTCTGCCTGGCTGTTCTAGGCCACTGGCATTCCTCTTCTGTGGGGATTTTGGAAGGAGTTGTGAATGAGTTAGAGACAGGACCTCTGAATTGGTTTAGATGATTTATTTTTCTTATTTTCTACATAGGCAGGAAGGGTGAGCTCAGCTCACATCTTCACTGCATGGCTCAGAAGGTCACAAGACCTTTAGTTACTAGACCTTTTAAGGATTTATTGACCAATAAAACACTGCCAAACAGGATATTTATGTTTTTGAGCCAATCCTTAAATATTTCATCTTATGGACCCATAACAGTGTAAGCATTTATGTTTTTGAGCCATTCCTTAAATATTTCATCTTTTGGACCCATGCTACAGTGTGAGCTTTCTTAGCCAATCATGTTATGACACACAAATCCACAGTGCTCCATTCTAAACTCCTTGTTTACTTCTGTAATTACTTTTATTTTTTCTATATCTTAAACTCTAAACTTTCTTTTACTTGGTATAACATGTCTCTGCTTTAAATCCACATTCTCATTGTTGGCACCTGAGTTTGGGAGCCTTTTCCAAGGTCTCAGATCAAATCCTGGGTTTAATCCTAAGCTTTGGTTTACAGGCCCAAAGTTCTGAGAATTCCTTGCATTTCGGATTCCAATGCTCTTTTCCCATTTTTATCCCAGTTCATGCCAAACAAATGTGTTTCCATTGCAGTGCTGGAGCAGGGAGAACGGGAACCTTCATAGCCCTGAGCAACATCCTGGAACGGGTCAAGGCTGAGGGGCTCCTGGACGTGTTCCAGGCTGTGAAGAGCTTGAGGCTGCAGAGGCCACACATGGTGCAAACACTGGTAAGGGATTCACCAGGAATCTTGTGGATGGGAGTTCTGTGTGTAAATATCCCTGGGAAAGGAGAATGAAAGGGTTTCTTGCAGGTTGGCATAGATGGTGGATGTGTGTGTACAAGGCATCATCAGGGTTTTACAGGGGGTTTTGGAGCATGTCTAAAAATAGAGTTTGGTTAAATATTCTCTGTCTTTTAGGAACTTGAGGCAGTGAAACTAAATGAGTGTTGCAGGTGATAAAATATATTAAGGAAATGGTTTTCGAGCTATTTATTAGTTGTTCTTTCTTACCTTAAAACGTCTGGTCATAAATTGGAATCATGGAATGGTTTGGGTTGGAAGGGACCTTAAAGCTCATCTCATTCCACCCCTGCCATGGCAGGGAAACCTTCCACTGTCCCAGGCTCCTCCAAACCCCATCCAACCTGGCCTTGGACACTGCCAGGGAGGTGGAAATCTTTGGAAGTGTATCTGACTTGTTTAAAATCTTTTAAAGTTTTCCTTCAAGTAATCTACAGCTACTATTTGAAGCTTAGTCCAGATGCTTTTCCCTGTTGAGTAACCATAAAGTTTTTTGAGACTTTTCTTAACTTGAAAATACATGAAAATATGGATATTTTTGATTTCCATAGCAGCTTCCATTCAGCAATCTGAAGCCTCTTTAGAAACAATTACCTCAAACCCTTTTTCCGGGGAGATGTTTTCTCCATCCCACAGACAGGAAGAATGGGGATGAAGAAATGGAGTTGGATTATCCATGCTCAGGCTGGGTCAGGGATGGATGGGATATTGGGAAGGAATTCCTCCCTGGAGGGTGGGGAGGAGCTGGGATGGAATTCCAGAGAAGCTGTGGAGTTTCCTTCCACAGCTGCTGAAGGGCAGTGATGCTTTATCAATAATCTTAATCTGGTGTTTCCCACATCCCTCACTGGTTCTGTCAGGCAGGTATCCAGAATGAGAACTGACTTCAAATTAATTCTTAGGCTCTAGAATAAGCATGATTATCATGTTTTATATTATTTGCTAAAGAAATCCTTCCCTGGGAGGGTTCTGGGCTGGCACAGGGTGCCCAGAGCAGCTGTGGCTGCCCCTGGATCCCTGGCAGTGCCCAAGGCCAGGTTGGACACTGGGGCTGGAGCACTGGGACAGGGGAAGGTGTCCCTGCCGTGGCAGGGGTGGCACTGGGTGGGATTTAAGGTCCTTTCCAGCCCAAACCATCCTGGGATTTTCTGATTCCCTGATTATCCCTGGGCAGTGCTCAGGAGTTTCTGCTGTGTGCAGCTGGGTTTAAATTAAAAGCCAGGCCTAAGAACTGATTCAGTTTAAGAAGCATCTCTGAAAAAGCTCCAGAAAACATTAGAAGCAAAGAGCAAGGATCAGCCTGTGTCTGACCAAAGAAAGAGGAACCACTGGTTTTATCTAAAATAATAACCAGAAATCAGAACAGACCAGTCCTCAGCTACTGATCCCAGTTAGGATATATTGAATTTATCACTGGGATTTGCAGAATTCAGGTTTTTAGTGTAACCAAAAGCACATTTTGATCTCTTTTCCTTGTTTTGCAGGAACAGTATGAATTCTGCTACAGAGTGGTACAAGATTTCATCGACATCTTTTCAGATTATGCTAATTTCAAATGAGAATTCTGCCTTATTTTTTAATTTGTCTGTATAAATAGTTGTATATTATGTTAATTTATTCTGTGTCACTTGGATTGTTGACTGAACTGTAAATACAACGATGTGCTGGTTCTGAAAGTTGCATTTGCTGTATAAAGTTGTTTCTTAAATATAAATATCTTCTAAAGCAAAGTATAATGTTCCTATACTGTATAGCACTGTAAGATGGGATAGAAATCTTTATTCTAAATAACAAAAACTTAATTCTCGGGGGTTTTTTTTTTCTTTTGGATTTTGCCACTCATAAATATTTATCAACAACGTTATTTCCCAATTCTTGAATTTTTTGACAGGTGATTTACAGTTCATCCTAAAAAAAGTTAATTTGGGTGCACATGTTTAAACATATTTTGTTCAGCAGGAAAATATGTTCACCATCAAAATAGATATTTATTTTTCCAGGCTGTTTTAAAGAGCCTCCAGGTTTTGTTGGATTTTGAGTCTTCCTGTCCATAGAAAAAATCAGTAGAAATACAAATTTGAATTTTTGAATTAACAGAACTTTCAAAGCCCTGTTCATTTTTTTCCCAAATATTGTTTAAGTCGATTTAGAAAGGCAATAACGTGATTTTTAGAATATTTTGCGTATTTGAAAAGTATATTTTGGAGCACCTGAACTTGTCGACTTGAAGAGGAAGGCCAGGAATGAAGTTAAAAGCATCTCTTCTCTATAAACACCTGCATGATTTCCCACTCCTTTAAAATAAGAGATGAACTCTTATTCCTTGATTTGACTCAGCAGGATAGTTAAGAGGTAAAAATTGGAAAAAAACCCCATTTTATGAATAGTTTAATGCCAGAAACATTGAGTATTGTAGCAAAAGTTCCTCCAGGTTCTTACCTTCCCAGAAATGTTATCAAAAAAGAACTTTCCATAAGGAAGAGCCTCCAGGTTTTGTTGGATTTTGAGTCTTCCTGTCCATAGAAAAAATCAGTAGAAATACAAATTTGAATTTTTGAATTAACAGAACTTTCAAAGCCCTGTTCATTTTTTTTCCCAAATATTGTTTAAGTCGATTTAGAAAGGCAATAATGTGATTTTTAGAATATTTTGCATATTTGAAAAGTATATTTTGGAGCACCTGAACTTGTCGACTTGAAGAGGAAGGCCAGGAATGAAGTTAAAAGCATCTCTTCTCTATAAACACCTGCATGATTTCCCACTCCTTTAAAATAAGAGATGAATTCTTATTCCTTGATTTGACTCAGCAGGATAGTTAAGAGGTAAAAATTGGAAAAAAACCCCATTTTATGAATAGTTTAATGCCAGAAACATTGAGTATTGTAGCAAAAGTTCCTCCAGGTTCTTACCTTCCCAGAAATGTTATCAAAAAAGAACTTTCCATAAGGGGTTTAGGGGTGTGTGCAGAGATATATTTTTATTGAAAGTACTACTGAGAATAGAATTGGTGACAGAAACTATAAAAGTTTTTATTACAGCCCTGACCAGGGGCTGGGAAATCCCCAAAATCACTGGGCACCCGAATGTTGAATAATTACCAAATTTATCTCTCCCACTCTTCCAAAAGCATCTCTGACTTAATGAGCACAAAGGGGTGAATCTGTAATTAATTAGATAACAAATATGCAACAGTTCTGTCTCGGCTTTGGCCATGCAGCATCAAAGCCTAACTTCAAACAAGCAGCTTAAACTGAGCTTTTCCCTGCTGTTCTTGCACTATTTTATCCCATTCCAATAGAATCTCCTTGCACCTTGGAGCAATGCAAGGGGATGGGAAGGTGTCTTTAGGTCTCCTTCCATTCCAGCCTGGCTGGAGAAGGTTTGGGATAGGAATTCCTGAGCCCCCAATCCCCACAGTGCCGTTGGCTCTTCCTATCTTCCCATCGCTGCACTGCTGTATTTATTTGTACAGTAAATTATGCACTTCAAACACGAGATTGGTTAAAGACTAAACTCGCTCGTGAGTCTCTATGAGAAGAAACACTCAAGCCACAGGGTTGGGTACTGAAAGTGGAGCTGAGGAAGGGCATGTTCCTGAAATTCCATCCAAATGGAAAGAGCCAGAATGAATTCAGCCTGGAAATGATACAAGGGGGTTCAGTCTCATTTATAGCACAGGCTCCCAGAGGCTGGAGAATAATGCAGAGGAATTCCCATTGTAGGATCCTGATGTCAGGATTTTTCCAACTGTTTAGCCCACATTTGAATAATAATTTGTTAGAATTTGGGGTCCCTGAGGTAAAGTGGGTGAGTTGTCCATAAAGTCAATCTCAGTGCAGGGAGACTCCAAAAGGTTGGAAAATAATGCAGAGGAATTCCCATTTTAGGATCCTCATGTCAGGATCTTTCCAACCATTTAGGGGGCATTATAGTAATAATAATAATAATAATAATAATTTTTCTGTTGGGCAGATTTGTGGGGCCCTGTGGTGAAAACTGGAGTTGTCTCCTGAAGTCAGTCTCAGTGCAGGGAGATCCAAAAGGTTGGAAAAAAGGAATTCCCATGTTATGATCTGGATGTCAGGATCTTTCTGACCCTTTAGCCAGCATTTGAACAATAATAATTTGTGTTTTGGGCAGATTTTGGGGCCCCTGAGGTAAAACCTTGGGTTGAGTTGGCCACGAGGTCGATCTCAGTGCAGCAGTGATGGGGTGTGGGGGTCCCAGAGCCCCCAGGAGCTGCAGCACAACTCCAGCTGCCCACGGCCTTCCCTAAAATCCTCCTTCCAACCAGGAGCAGGATGGAGTTCAGCTGGAACACCAAATCCTCGGTAGGTACTCGGATTTTAGTTGATAACCAGATTGAGATATGGAGGAGGAAAGAGAAATGCCTAAAACAGAATTCAGAACTCCCAGCTGTAGCTCCATGAAGGTTTCTGTGGAATGTGAGGAGCTCCCTTGGCCGTCACCGTGTGTGCTCGCTGGCTGGAGCTCTGGGGAGGGTCTTGGTGGATTGGAATTTTCCTTTGAATCTCCGTCTGTTGCATGGAATTCCTTCAAAAGGCCAAATAGTTGGATTGGAAGTGTCCTTCTGATCTGTCTGTGGTTTTGGTCACTGTGTGACTTGGACTGTTCATGTGTTCAGAAGGTCCCAGCTCAGCTCAGCATGGAGGCGTTCGCTTCCCAACGCCCTCATCCCACAGTCCATGGATGCCATGGATTCCCTGTCCCCAAAGCAATCCCTTAAAAGTGCTTGGCTGACTTGGGCCTTAATGAAGAATGCATACTGTAATTAGCAGTGTTTTTTAGGCTATTTTTATGTATTTTTTAAACTTTTGAAATGAGCCTGACCACCCCGTGTTCAGTCTTTTGAAATGTTTGCGTTTCCCTCGCCCCATTTTTCTTGTAAAGTTACTGGAACTTTTCTGTATAACCAAAATGTATTTAATTTGTCAAATCTTTATAATATATGTATGTATTATACAGTTTCAGCTCTTATTATTTTCTTTTCTTACGTTTCTAATTTGATCTTGCTGTGTTTTTAATGCCGGTGAATGTGGCTGAATTATTTGTATATGCAAATTGCAAGATCTAATACATTCTGATGCAAGAACAAAGCTTCCTTTTTATTCTCCACCTGCATTATTTCCTTTAAATCTTTTAATTTCATTCCTGTGTTGTGTGTTCATTTGAATTAAGCATTCTAAAAGAGTTGAAATCCATTATCTAGATAAGTAATTTTTCAGTGCTTATCTGCAGTTGTTTGGGAGTAAAATTCTGATTTATTTTGGGACTGAACATTGTGCATATAAAGGGTGCAGAAACTCATGGAAGCAGTTGGAATCCAGGTCTTCCCAAACTGTCTGGATAAGTAAGATCTGATTAAATAAGTACAGTAAAATTAAGTAAATATAGTAAAATAACCCTGTGGTAAACTGTGGTGTCATACCAAGATAAAAATAGGATCTAAACTTCCAGCTGCATCACCAATCATGAATTGAAATTCCGAATTGAAATTCACACTAATTTAATTCACTTTGACAAGTTTTGCATTGGATACTTGCTAAAATTAACCCAGAAGGCCTGACTGTTGTAACAAGGCGGGGAGGTTTGTGTGAAGCAGGAGTAACTGCTCAGGGGTTCCATGCTAATGTCAAGTCAAATAAGATTTCAGGCAGCCTGTTTTCTGTTTGACCCTTTCTGTTTCCCCTGGTCCACCCTGTTGCGATGAACTCTCTGTGTGTGGAGACACAAGGCTTGACTGTTTTTCTCAGAAGGCTGATTTATTATGTTATATATTATACCAAAATGCTACTCTAAAAGAACAGAGAGAAGAGAAAGATCAGAAGGCTACAAAGAATAAGAATAGAAATGAATGCATAACAAAATCCTGTGGCTGCTCACCGCCTCGGCACAGGTGGCTGTGGTTGGCCATCAATTGGAAACAATCCACATGGAGAAATGGAAGATGCACTTGTTGCATTCCACAGCAGCAGAGAGTTATTGTTTACATTTCTTTCCTGAGGCTCCCAGCTCCTCAGCAGGGAAAAAAATCCAAGGAAAGGATTTTTAATAAAATACCATAGCTACACCACCCCACGCCTCGCATTTGGGAGATGCCTCTTCAGGGCAGGTAGTTTTAGGATTTTTTTTTTCCCCACAGTTGTTGGGAAGAACTTTTCTGCATGTCCTTCCTGGGCAATGCTCTAATATTGGAAGGATGAGAGGAAATGGCCTTAAATTGTGCCAGGGGAGGTTTGGAAATTAAGATTTCTTCATGGAAAGGGTTTTCAAGGGTTGGGAAAATGCCTGGGGCAGAGGTGGAGCCCCCATCGTTGGAAGTATTGAAAAACTGTGGATGTGGCATGGAGGACATGGGTTAGTGGTGAACTGGTTGGTGGTTGGATTTGATTTTCAAACTTAACTAATCTGATTCTAATTTGCCATTGCGTGTAAAAGCTGTTATTTTTTTTAATTATCCTAGAGGAGTTGATAAAATATTTTGTGTGATTGGGCGATGTACTTTTATGCAGCTTGTGGGACCGCTGGGAGGTAACTGTGTGTGAGGACAGGCAGGTGCCTTGGTGTGCTCTCAGAAAAGAGAAAAAATCTCAAATATTTATCAGTTATTAATTAATTGTTGGTTAATTTAAATAAATAGTAATAATTGTTGATCACACAGCAAACGTGGATATTTCTGTACTCTAATGGTGATACACTTGTTTTTTTCCTACTTTTAAAGATTACAAAAAAGATACCATAAAAACCCTCTGGTTCCTTACCTGGTTCTGTTTTTAGAAACTCAACTTTTAGGAAAAAAATACAATTTAATTGTAAACTGTCCATGAAATATATTTAGTTTAATGGGATATTTAAAAAATACAATTTAATTGTAAACTGTCCATGAAATACATTCAGTTTAATGGGATATTTAAAAAATACAATTTAATTGTAAACTGTCCATGAAATATATTTAGTTTAATATATTTAGTTTAATGGATATTTAAACAGCATAAACTAAAGCAGATCAAAGAGGTGTTTGCTCTGCACAAATGTCAAGCTCTGTTTTGCCTAATGCAGAAATTGTTGAATGGAGAATTTTCCGGGCCACTGAACTTCCCGGGGAGTGTTCTTCATCTGAGGAATTAAAGGATTAGGATGTAATTTAGATCTTCTGGTGAGAGCTTCCTTCTAATGACTTTTATCCATTTTCTGTGCTGCTTTGTGCAGAGGAGGGGAATTACTCACTCCTTAATCGAGCTGACACCTTGCCAAGGAAGTTACTTGTGCAAAGAATCCTTTTCACCTGTTTCCATTCAGGAGAAACAGCTCCAGCATTTTCCTGAATTTTCCTGAACTCCA